TGGCCCGGTGTCCAACTAAAATATAATAATATTTTAGTGAAAATGTACACTAACCTGTCATATGCACTTTAAATCACAGAGAAATTAATTGAATGACATTTTTCTCTAAACTCTAAAATGTGTTTTCAAATTTAATTGTGGCCAAAGATCTTGTTTTAGTTCATGTCAAATTTGAAATGAATTATTTTTTGTTGTGTTTCTTTGATATGGACATAACAATTGTTTACTACTACAGTATATTCAAGTCTTTTCAAACAGAACATAAAGTAAAATGAGCTAAACAAGAATGACTTTTAATACATACAGCATTGTCAAGTGTGCAGCTCTGCTCTGTTCCAACTAGTTTCAAATGTTAAAGATCTTCTGTACCGCTGTTGGGAAATATGAGAAAAACATGTGATATTGTAGAACTATGCTCTGTGTTGTATTATAGTCATATTTGAATATACTTTGGCACAATAAGATCAATTAAATTACAGTAAATTCGGTCAAACTGGGTCAAAATAGAAGCTTAAAGATCATGTTATGTAAAATAGACTCCTGGGAGCTTTTAGCCATGAATGTCATCACCTCCTCAAAAACTGGAGTTGTGTTTTTTTTCATTCACCCACATGTGCGAGTAACTCTTTATTGTTAGTTGTGATGTCCTGTAATGATAGTTTTCAAGTTAACAGCTACGTTTACTTTTAGTTCAGTAGAAATTGACAATGCCAGGACTGAAATTAACCAAATGAAATGAAGGTGTGTGGAGTTCAGTGGCAACTGAGCCAAGGCCAAAATTATAAATATATATGTATTATATATAGGCTATATATTTAGTATTATAGCCCACAAGCTGTAATACCTGTGTAATAACAAATGCCAGAGACAGACAGTCATTTTGTCACAACTGGCTGAACTATATCTTGAATGAATATAAATAATGTGTCTTATATTTCATCAGTCACCTTTCCTACTCTTGCACTCTTTGGTTATCACAACCAGAGCAAACTACACGACCAAACACAATGTTTACGCAACAACACAACCCGAGGCACCATTCACAACCACCTCCAACATCAGCAGAACTGCAATAAGAGGCTACAAACACAACATGAACACACGGCCTCAGCGCCTCTCCAACACTGCACACGGCAGAACAATCGGAGCAGCTCCGTTTCACCCATAAGCTCATTTACACACTATTTAACTATTTAAGCTCAGATTTGGGCAAAATTAATGAAAACAAGCCTCGAGTGTACCCTCTATCCGCTGTCCCATTGGTCTGTTAAACTGTATTACTGTCCAATATGAAGAAGATCTGGTCCAAGTTCTGGTCAGTCAAGTCCGTGACTTGAGGTCCGGGAGCGAGTGTGCCACACAGCGGAGCACCTCAAGATGCACCATTAACCACAGAAATGTGTTAGGAGAATAAAAGTCCAGTTCAGTAAATCCTCTTTCAGTTTGGTGCTGTTCGGTTTCACAGGTCTCAGAGTTCACCGGTTTGACACATACTAATTTGAATTGGCTTAACGTATTTTGAAATTTTCAAAGACATTTTCTCAGGACAGGTGCTGGTGTCTCGTACTGCCACACCGGCTCAGGTGGTAATAATAATAGTAACTAAAGCCACATGCAGCATTAAAGGCCCTCGCCACCCCTTACAACTGCAGGATATGTGCCACCACAAAGATCTTGCCTCCCCTGCATGGCAGCCCATTGCACTGCAAGTGGTTGGAGACAGAAGTCTATCCTTATTGGGTTTTTGGTTTTGGACGATGTGTGGAATAGGTGCATCAAATTTCCATGTCATTCCAAAAGTCCATGCCAAGCATTTTTTTTCATCCCAGTTAATCCAAGTTATCAGAGTTATTTCTGACAAATGTTGGATGCTGCTATGGTAAAATGAATGCAAATAGAGCCAAGTCTAACTCATCCCCAACTACATCACCTCTTCCCCCAGAATCAGTGTAAATATTGTATGTTACTACATTTAACCCAATGAAAACATTTCTGACATTGCCAAGCCTGTGGTCATGTGACTTTGTTTTATGGTGCCCCATCACACATAAGCCCTCTGTAAATGGTTTCACAAGGCCACGACAGACAGATTGTCTTGTACATTTTTTTAATGCAATTTTAAGAGGACACTAGCGAGCCATGTTGTTAGACAGCACCTTGACTTGCATTTCAGTATGTTCAGCTCACAAACATGTACAAACGCAGTAATGGCTTTTTTTTTTTTTTTTTTTTCAAAAATTGGTATTGGAGCCTGTCCAGGAGCTTTTGAGAGATCACGGACAGGACTCCGTTGTGGTCATTCAGGCAGTAGGACGACTGAGGCGGGAGACGTTGTGGAGGTGGTAAAAGACAAAAGGACTGTTGAAGAGGGGAGGATGTCAATGCCATCGATACCATCGAGCTCTGTCTTGTTACTGTTAAATTTGAGGAAGTTGGATGATAACCAGGTCCAAAGGTCAGTGAGGGAGCTGGAGAGAGACTGAGAGGGAGATGGGTGGAGGGCTTGATGGAGATTTAAAGTTGTGTATGAGTGGAAGTTGAGTCCATGTGTACGTATGATTTGTCCGAGGGGGAGCGTGTAAATGATAAACAGAAGTGGGCCGAGCACAGAACCTTGTGGTACCCCTTCGTGGATGAGAGTCAAACCAGCAAAGTGCAGTACCAATCAGTCCAATGTTTTTGCAGAGGCGGTCGAGGAGGATGGTGGTAGGAGTGGTCATTTGTGAGATTGACGAGTGCCGTTTTGGTGCTATGACAGGGTCTGAATCCTGATTAAAATGGTTCATCGAGCTCATGGTCAGACATGATGTTGTGATGTTGGAGCTGACCAGCCACTGGTTTTTCCAAGATGTTACTAAGAAAAGGAAGTTTGGAGATCGGCTGATAAAAAAGCTCTTCTGTGTCCTGCTGCCTGCTGACCTGGTGATAGAGTGACACTTACATAACCAGGAGGTTCTAATCCAGTTCTGTTGTCTCAACAATGCCTGTGTGGTATCTGTGACACTGCGTAATGTCATCAGTACAAAGCGTAGAGTACATGTATGAAGCGTGTGTCATGTATGATGTTCTGTCACATGTCTATACAGCATCATCTACACAGGACCTTTGTCAAAAGTCCACATAGTATCTCATGTATGTATCCCTCTGAACTCTGACCCTCCCCAGGTGAATGGAGAACGTGAGCGGCTCTCTGCTGCAGATCGAAGGCCTGTCCCTGTCTCACTCCTCTGTCCTGCCTGTCTTCTGCTGCTTCCTGCTGTCGTATGTCCTCATGATGCTGGTGAACTTGGGGAACTGTGTGGTGATCCTGAGGGACAGGAGCCTGCACCAGCCCATGTACCTGCTGCTGTGTAACCTCTGCCTCAACGACATCATCGGGGGCACACACATCATCCCGCGTTTACTGTCCGACCTCCTGCGAGCGCCCGAAGAACGTCTCATCTCGTACAGCGCCTGTGCCACTCAGGCCTTCGTTACGCAGATGTTTGGGACGACCTCACACACAGTTCTGATGATCATGGCGTTTGACCGTTACGTGGCGATCTGTAACCCGCTGCACTACTCCACCATCATGAGTGGGCGCATGATAGTGAAGCTGATAGCGTCTGCGTGGGGCGTGGCCTTTGTCATGGTGGGGATTCTGATTGGTCTGTCACTGCGTCTGTCGCGCTGTCGCTCACTGGTCACAAACCCGTACTGTGATAATGCGTCTCTGTTTAAGCTGTCGTGTGAGAGTACCCTGATCAACAACGTGTACGGGCTGCTCTACACGGCCCTCCTGCTGAGCGCCTCCATCGGCTCCATCCTCCTGACCTACGTCAAGATCACTCTGGTGTGTCTGCGCGGACACAGCTCCAGTCTGAACCGCCGCGCCCTCCAGACCTGCTCCACCCACCTGCTGGTGTACCTGCTGCTGCTGCTCAGCGGGGCCCTGGTCATTATTCTGCACCGTTTCCCTCAGTACACAGAGCAGAGGAAACTGGCTGCTATCTTATTCTTCATGGTTCCCGGGATAGTGAACCCCATCATCTACGGAGTGCAGTGCAGGGACATACGCTGTGCCTGGGTCCGGCTCTGGGTTCCCAGCCCCAGGGGGAAATAAACTCTTTACACCTGTTTGTATTTATTCATTTAAGCAGAGTTGTTCTCATTGTTGCTGTGCTGACACGAGTCAGAGCTGCAGAGTCAGAGGTCAGAGATCAGAGTGAGGCGTTTGTGGTGGCGTCTGTGCCTCTGAGGTTTGTACCTCCTGACAGACTCTTCTCAGACTGAGACTGTGTCTGTTTTAAACTGTCTCATGAGAATAATTAACTGTAACCCACAGAGACTAATGCAGCAAAACATCGTCAACACAGACAGGTTAGACAGGGTTGGACCTGACTTAGACCTGGGTTAGACTGGGTTACACCTGGTGTAACAGCTAATAATATAAACAAATAATGAGAAATTAAATATAAAAATGTATAAGAGAAAACAAGTCAAATAAATTCTCTCACATGTACTCTTAATTACACCAGCGCCATCTATGGGTAAAACAAGTGAAGTGTTACATGGATATCAGTTCACTTGAGTATGTTTTATTTGTTTATGTGCAGCTGAGTGTGTTCATGTAAAATGAACCAGAGCTTATGTTTTATTTTTATGTGTTTGCTGCGAGACAAAGTAAACACCGCAGTAAACAGTAAAAAAGGATGTCTCGTGTCTCTCATGTTTTGGACAAGCCGGCATACCTGGGCAAGTTAGACCTGGATTAGACCTGGTTTAGACCTGGTTTAGACCTGGTTTAACCTGGTTTAACCTGGTTTAGACTCCCTCCTGCGCTCTGATCAGGACTGATCTCAGGTTTTATGTTCCTCACTGAGCTTGACACAGGGCAGCAGCGCCCCCTGGACTCAGGCTCCTGCAGGTGTCATGGGTGACTGTGGTGTCATATGACTGTGGTGCAACATAAAAACTACTTTCATTTATTTTCCTTTTGGACTTTTACTGAAATCTGAACCTTTTGCATCTTTTTTTTTGGTAATAGTGCTTTTAATTAGATCAATAAAAAGTCATCAACAACAGGATTGTGTCTCATTCTGATCATCGTCATCGTGGAGCTTCTGGTTCAGTCCTGGTTCAGCTTTGAATTAGTCCTGGTTTAGTCCTGTTTCAGTCCTGGTTCAGTCACGGTTGAATCTTGGTTTAGAGCTGATTTAGTCCTGTTTCAGTCCTGGTGAAGTCCTGGTTGAGTCTTGGTTTAGAGCTGGTTTAGTCTTAGTGCAGTCCAAGTTTAGTCCTGGTTCAGCCTTGAATTAGTCCTGGTTTAGTCCTGTTTCAACCCTGGTGTAGTCCTGGTTCAGTCCCTGTTAAGTCTTAGTTTAGAGCTGGTTTAGTCCTGGTGTGGTCCAAGTTTAATCCTGGTTTAGACCTGATTCAGTCCTGGTTCAGAGCTGGAGCAGTTTGGGGTTGGTGACCCGCCCGGTGAACAGCAGCGCTCCGGTGGATTGGTCACGGAGGAGGAAGAGGAAGGGCCGGTTGACGTGATAGGTCAGTGCAGAGGCGTGGGCGGGGTCAGGGGCGTACTGGAGACCTTCGGGGGCGGACTCTAACACCACCTTATGAAACACCGCGTTCAGTTTGACGGGCTGCACCGAAATCTGGTCCAAACCCGTGTCCGCCAGCCAATCAGTGAGGCCTGTGGGAGAGAAGAGCCAATCAGAGAAGAGAGAAGAGCCAATCAGAGAAGAGAGAAGAGCCAATCAGAGAAAGAGAAGAGCCAATCAGAGAAGGAAGAGAAGAGCCAATCAGAGAAGGAAGAGAAGAGCCAATCAGAGAAGAAAGAAGAGCCAATCAGAGAAGGAAGAGAAGAGCAAATGAACTGAGAGTAAATGGTAATTGGTCACATTTTTATATAGCACTTTTCCACTTTCAAGGCCCTCAAAGCATTTTACAACAAGGACCCACACTGAAAAAAATTACTTGTAAGATATACTACAAAAAATCCTTTGCACTAGCACCTTTTCAGTAAGTTTTACTGCTGTAATATTAGGTACAATTTACTTCTCAATATTAAGTAAAATGTACCTTATTACCACAATGAACAGTAATGAATTAACTGAGTAATAGATACTCAATTTTTGAAGTTAGAAGCCATATTCATGTAAATAAATGAATGAAATAAATGAAATATTGTCATAATTAATTGCATTGGTGTGATAAAATCACTAAGTAAATATTTTATGTTTAGTATTTACTGATGTATAATAAATGGTACATTTTTATACAGTGCTTTTCCACCTTCAAGGCTCAAAGTGCTTTACAACAAGGAACCACTCACACATTCACACACACATTTACACACACATTTACACACCAGTGTACACAGACACTGGGGTGAGGTGGGTTAAGTGTTTTGCCCAAGGACACAACGACAATCACACCAGCCAACCTGTGGGTCAGTGGATCTGCCCATTCAACCAATGATCTTTGTGTCAAGAACAGGATTTGAACTAGAGCATGGAAACCCGACCAAAGTCTAACGGGTCAGACAGATTCGGATGAATATTTAGAACTTGGACTAGACTCTGACACATCCGCATGTCAGATGTTTCCTGTCTACAGTAAAACCTCTCGCTTTGAGACTCTTAAGTGTTCAAAAGATCAGAACTCTGCACTTCTAGTTTAGGTACAAGTCAAAACTGTGTTATTATTATTTGTGAAATGTGGTGCAAAACTTCAGATACAGGGTTTTTAAAGCATAAAAGAGGCGATAAAGTCCACAGGAAGTAGACACTATGGCTAATCTGCAGCTTCACTTCGATCCGCGCAAAACACATGTGAGGAACTACTCTCACCTTTTTACTTTTAAAGAATGCCTCAAACTGGATTAACAGTGCTGTTTTGTGGACTGGATGTCATTATTTGTAGAGGACAACTTCTATGGATAATGTGGATGAGATGCTTCAGTTTAATTTTACCACTTTACAAGAGGTGAGTAATAAAGTCTGCTCATTATTTTTGTCATATCCCTAATGTCCGTTACAGGCCACACAAACAATATCCTACGAGTGTCATTAGGCCTGTGTGTGTGATTTTAACTGCGTTGGGTTCAGTCAGGTTTGGAAACAAATATCTTAATACCTATCGGGCTCGGGTCGGATTCGATCACTGCTCTGTCGGATGGGGACCAGGCTTGGAGAGAAGAATTCGGCCTAGTCCACACTCTAATTCGAACTGCCAACCTTCTGATCAGTGGACAAAGGCTCTACCAACTGAGCTACTGTTGTTTTTTAGGACACCCTTATGTCTTAAATCTCATAAGAGTACATTTTTATAGGACCTTCAAGTGAGGTATCCTTTATCCATGACTGCCAAAAGTGTGGTTATTAAAGTGTGAGCAGAGAAATAACACAGTGTTTATGTTTCCTCAAACACAGACCGAGGTTGGGGAGCAGCGACATCAGGTTTTTGCTGTAGGCTCCCTTCAGACTGGGCATGCTCAGAGAGACGTGGGCGGGGAGCATCGTCATGGACAGGTCCTGGACGAATTCCGCCGTCAGCGCGTCCTCGATCGCCGTGAGGTTTGAGGTCACGGTGTCAGGCAGGAAGAGGAAGAGGCTGACTCCATCCTGCATGGGGAGCTCTGCGATCTGAGGGGTAAAAGGTAAACGGTAAACCATGTTTCAGAAAGAGTGTTCTGTTTTGCTTTGAAATTAGTTAGTTATTTTCACTTTTGACCTGTTACAAGTGGCTAAATGTGCTCAGTCCAGTCTTACCCATTGACAAATTTAACGGTGATTACATGGTATTTGATTCCACTTGTCCTTACTCTTACAGACCTTTTTCACAACAGTCTGAAGTGTTGCGATGTAGGATAAACGTCACTTATGTTATGTTTTGTCACTAATGCTTTTCTATGGCAAAATATCTGTGGAAATGTCTTGTGTATCTTTCCACCAGCTTCATAAATCTGCCCCATCACCAAATCGATTTTATTCATGACGATAATGTTAGTTTCGCTCAGGAGTAGTTCACTAATGCTCGTCGTTGTTCACCTTTACGTTTTCGTCTTTCTTACCTTAATAGTTGTGGATAAATTGTTCATGTTTATCCTTTGTGGACCTTGTTGGATGAAGATTTGGTGATGGGGCAGATTTATGAAGCTGGTGGAAAATACGTGCGACAGTTCCACAGATATTTTGCGATAGAAAAGCATTATGCAAGTGACGTTTACCCTACATTGCGGCACTCCCAGTCGTTGTGAAAAAGGTCTATTGGGCTGATGCATTTTGGTTGAATAGCGCCCTCTTGTGATGACTGGTAGTGATAAGTGCCCCTGGATCCGAGAGCATGTTGCCAGTTCATGAGAAACAGGCACAAGGATTTTAGCTCTGTCGGTAAAAATCGTGAATTTCTTTTTAATTATTCATTATATGATCACAGCCTTTATGAGCTCATATTTCATACAATGTTTGAGTTATAACACAGTAATGGACTGTTACAAGTCATGACAGAAGCTTTAAACTTTTAGATTTGCTGTACAGCCCCTCTTTAACCATGATGGCGGAAGCTACAGAAACTCTAAGGCTACGTTCAGACTGAAGGGCTTAATGCTCAATTTGGGTTTTTGGGGAAATCCGATTTTTTTGCTAGGTCATTCACATTTCCAATTAAAAGTGACTTGTATGTGATCTCCAGTGTGAACTTTACACGGCCCAAAAGTGTCACACACAGCGAGCGTGATCAGTGTTTACGGAAGTCGCTTAAACATGGACGCAGCATTGAGCACCTGGAGGTTTTAATTTAAAGCTGCTGTCGTACCGGAGCCAGAACATGTACAGCTGATTTGTTTTAAGGAGGAGATTGAGAAGAAAAAGGACGAGGTTTTTGGCCGTGGCGTTTTGTGGGGCAGTGGCAGCAACGTCTGTAAAAAGGAACATGTGAGTGCAGAGTCGCAGCCAAGATTGGAGGGACTAACATGTGCTTCACTGTTTCACTCACAAGGAGATAAGAAGAATGTTTGTGTACATTTGTGATGTGTAGGTGGATGAATGCGACCTGACCGTTCAAACTGAAGTCACATGTCAAAAGATCAGATATGTATCGGTTTTAGGAGCACATATCCAAGTGACCTGGGTTGCATTTGAAAAAAATCAGATCTATATCATTAAAAGATCAGATACAGGAGCATAGGGGCCAAAAAATCACATTTGGGTCACTTCAGGCTGCAGTCTGAACGTCGCCTAAGTCTTTGTGCAAATGAGTTTCATCATCATGAAGTTTTGACCAGTCAGATGTTTGTCCAGGAGCTCTGTTTGAGTTACTGACCGTGCAGCTCAGGTCCGAGTCGATGCCCATCTTTATCGGGTAGTTGTCCTGTCGCATCATAGGCACTTGGACCGAAGTAGAACCATCGACCTGGAACTGACTCATGGAACCAGTGCTTCCAAAACGGGTCACCCACTTTCCTATGGAGAGAAACCAGGGTCAGAGAAACAGAGGAGAGGGTCAGAGGAGCAGAGGAGGAGCAGATGGAGCAGAGGATGGACCTTTGAAATAGGCCGCAGTGACCGCTGTGACTCCAGGGTTTCGGGGCAGATTGCTGGTCAGGATCCTCAAGACCTTCCCTGAGGTCTGCTGAGAGACCCAGTCATTGATCTCCTTCTGGTCCTTGGATCCTCCCTGAAGAGCTTTGGGTCTGGTTCCGTACGTTTGCTCCACCAGCGTGAAGTACTCCTGCTTCAGACGCAGACCTGCTCGAACAGAAGACACAGTCAGTGCAGCAGGTCCTCTCACCTGGGTTTAGAGCGTAGACTGTAGAAGTGGACAGAGAAGTAAGAAGCGGACTAAGGAACTACAATGTCACCCATAGAGTTCTACTCCAATGAAGCTCATCCAGTTAATCAATGAAGCTTCAGAGGCGAATTTGGAGTCAAGTTCCGTATTTGGATTTTTGACTGCGAGAAACATATCAACCACAGAATCAATCAGGGGTGGCGACGCTGGTTTAGCACACTTAGCCATGCTGTCAATCAGAGGTGGGACCAAGTCGTTGTTTTGCAAGTCTCAAGTCTTTGACCTCAACTCCGAGTCAAGTCCCATAAGTCCAAGTCAAGTCCAAGTCGTTTGCTTTGAGCTTCAAGTCATTTCAAGTCTTTAAACCAAATTTATATGAATTTTAAGATAAATTGTACTTGGTCATAGTATATTTCTATATGAGTATTTATATATGAGTTGTAGAAATGCAATTTTTTTCCTTTTGAAATGTCTTGACAAGATCTTAGTTTGAATCATTACGGTCAGAAAAGAAAGAATTCAGATTTAAAAGTGCTAAATAACAGTTATTTTGTCATGAAGGATCATGTTCTATGCAGTTCCATCTGTTTTACTGCATTTTACTGTGTTGTACTTTATATTACTGTAGTACTTTTGAGGATACCACATCACAGTACTTCAGTTACATCCAAAGTGAAAAACAGAAGTGGCAGGGACATGTTCCAGTTTGTTCCTGTAAAATTCAGCGCTGCATTTATCAACTGTAAAGAGAAAAGTATTTTCAAAAAACATATACTTTTTAGGAAAAGCATCAAGTCTTCCCAAGTCACAGGCCTCAAGTCCGAGTCAAGTCCCAAGTCATTGACCTTCACATCCAAGTGGAGTCCCAAGTCTCAGTCCGTTTTATCAAGTCAAGTCTCAAGTCCTAAAAATAGTGACTCAAGTCTGACTTGAGTCCAAGTCACAACTTGCAAGTTCCCACCTCTGCTGTCAATCAAACCATCAGGAGCGACCTCGGGGAAAGAAGGCACCTGACTGATCTGGTATTCATTTTCATATCTGGATTTACAGACAATAGAGTGAAATAAAAACACCAGAGTGAGTTAATAATAACATTTTAAGGTCAGAATGACAAGTCTGACAGCAGCAGTTACAGAGAGAGGGGTCACTTCTTGAATAGAAAGTGAATTAGAGCCAGAAGTCCATGGAGCCAGAAATGCACCTATGCTGATTCGTAGTAGTAGTAGGATTTGCAATAGTAGTATTTGCAGTAGTAGATAGATTAGATTTATTGTCACAAATACAACAAAACTCCAACAGAGCAAAAGTGCAGCAATAAAAATGAATTAATATAGACACATTCTCACATTCAGACCAATAAAAACATTGGGTCGTGGGTAGAAGCTGGTAGTAATAGTATCTCCAGTCATAGTATTTGCAGTAGTAGTATTTGCAGTACTCACGGCGGCTGAGGTACAGTCGGGCTGCAGTACTCAGTCCTTTTCCTGTGGCGGTGCTGGAGCTCAGGAGGGACCTCAGGGTGGTGTGGAGCGCCGGGTCCTGGAGCGTGTGGTACCTCAGGGCCCGGGTCAGGTCTCTCTGAGAGTACGGCGTCCCACCTGGGAACAAAAAGTACTACAGAGTACACAAGAGTACACAGAGTAGTACAGAGTATATACGTCGAACCTCTACACATGAGAGTACTGCAGAGGATTACGCCAAACCTCCTGAGTACATAGAGTACTACAGGCACTTTTAGACCGAGGCCAGACCAGGTCCTGCTGAGTCTCTGCTCCAGGCTCTGCTTTAGACCTGGTTTATCTGTGTTTTTTCTGCCTTACCCATAGACAGCTGTGTCAGAGCAGCGGAGACGCTCAGGGGAGACAGGAGCACGTTGCCGGTCTCTTGGGCGCACAGGGATCGGAAAAGGTTGTAGCCGAAGTCTGAGGCGGCGGCGGCCAACTTGGTGGTGGGCGTAGTGAACAGCTCCACATGCTCCTCCTCCTCTGGGGGCGTGGCCTCAGCCGGATCTGACTGAAGGGGGCAGCACAGGGTAAAAAAAAACAAAAAACGGACGACTGTTTTTCCTCTGCAATCCTGATCTAATGTGATTTAGATTTAGTCAAAAGTTTTAGAACACCACACTTTTCCAGTTTTTTACTGTTGACTAAAACATATTCTAAACTTCTGATTCATGAAAGTTTCCACCTTTGGGAGATAAAACAGCTGAACACACTCGTGGCTCGTTCTTTTTACAACAGAAATCAAATATTGTTCAGAAAGTTCTTCCCAAGTCTGTTGCAGAAGTTTCCATAAATGTGTGGCACTTGTAGGTTGGGGTTTAAGTCTGGACACGGTGCTGCTGGACACTCCAGGTTTTCAAGGCTTTACCGTCTTGTTCTTTTTTCCTGAGGTAGTTTTGGCAGGGCTTGGATTTGTGTTTTGTTCTTTTATCTATTTTTTTTTTTTATGTCTGTCTGTTCAGTTCTTACCTTTGTACCATTTCAAGCTCTTGCCCGAGTTGAAATGCAATAAACAACTGGAAAGATTAGGGTGTTCTAAAACTTTTGACCGGCCCTTTTTTGGAGTGTCCTCTGGGGGAGGAGTGACAGGACAATGTGTGTAATAAAGAAGCAGGGTGTGGTATAACAAACACGTAGCAGTCTCTTCATTTTGTCTTCTTATGAACTTTAACTTCTTCTCATTCTTTAACCCTGGCAGGTCCAGACTGACATGTTACTTCAACTTCTTGGGTTATTTTTTAAAGACATGTACCAGTGACAGTTCTGAAGATGCAGCAGCAGCCAGAACATGTCAACAAGGGAAATACACTTTACTGTTTTGTTTTTAAAAAGAACCCAAGAAGTTAAAATAAATTCACCAGCAAGGACCACACCAACAGCGACATAGAGCGAAGAAGAGGTTTATTGGTAATGTACGAGGCGGGGCCCTTAGGCAAGACACTTCACCCTCATTGCCTCGTATGAAAGTGGTGTGTGTGTGATGTGTAATAAACCTCCAAAGGAGGAGAGTGCATACAGTCTGCTCTGGCCGCTGTGCGACGTTCTTTCAAATCGTCTAGTGTATTCTGATTTCTGACCTAGTCACAGGAGAGAAATGAAATTGAGCGGAGGCACTAGGTGGCGCCAACCTGGCTATGATTGTGTTGGGTGGAGGGGCAGATGGCACAGATTGACAGCCTCGTTTGTGTCAGTCTGCCCCGGGCAGCTGTGGCTACAATAGTAGTTTACACCACCGAGTGTGGAGTGAATGAACAATTGTCTGTAACAGTATAAAAGTGACACATTTGTCTGTGAAAAATGCTGTACAAATAAAAACTGACTTAAACTTAGTCCTGGTTCGATCCTGGTTTAGTTCTGCATTTTTCTCTTTTGAAATCACGAGGAGAGCAGCCAAACCACATGGAAACTATCTGTGTCTGCTCCTCCGCCAACTGAGCCAGATGCCCTCCCACGCTCCCACAACTGAGCCAGATGCCCTCCCACGCTCCCACAACTAAGCCAGATGCCCTCCCACGCTCCCACAGCCACGTGAGTCAGATGTGTCAGATGCCCTCCCATGTATCACGTGTGTTTTACCTGAGCCAGAGCCGACCCCAGGAACACTCCACAGAAGAGCAGTGAAGAGAGGACCCTCATCCTGCAAGACCAGAGACCAGATTTAGTCCTGCTTTAGTCCTGCTTTAGTCCTGCTTTAGTCCTGCTTTAGTCCTGGTTTAGTCCTAGTTTAGTCCTGGTTTAGTCCTAGTTTAGTCCTGGTTTAGTTCTGATTTAGTCCTGCTTTAATCCTAGTTTAGTCCTAGTTCAGTCCTGCTTTAGTACTGCTTTAGTGCTGCTTTAGTCCTGGTTTAGTCCTGTTTTAGTCCTGGTTTTGTCCTAGTTTAGTCCTGGTTTACTCTTGCTTTAGTCCTAGTTTAGTCCTGGTTTAGTCCTGGTTTAGTCCTGTTTTAGTCCTGGTTTTGTCCTGCTTTAATCCTGCTTTAGTCCTAGTTTAGTCCTGGTTTAGTCCTGGTTCAGTCCTGGTTTAGTCCTGGTTTAGTCTTGCTTTAGTCCTGCTTTAATCCTAGTTTAGTCCTGGTTCAGTCCTGCTTTAGTGCTGCTTTAGTGCTGCTTTAGTCCTGGTTTAGTCCTGTTTTAGTCCTGGTTTAGTCCCGGTTTAATCCTGTATTAAAAGTCCAAATGTTCTGACCTGGTTTAGCTCCAGCGTGTGCTCTTCTGCCTCTGTCTGTGGAACTTTAAACATCTGGAAGAGATTTAACCCCAACAAAACACAAAGAGATAGAGAGAATGAGGAGAGAGAGATAGAGAGAGAGTGCAGGAGAGAGGGAGGAGGAGGGGGAGAGAGAGAGTGCGAAAGAGGGAGCGAGAGAGAGAGAGAGAGAGGGAGGGAAAGAGAGAAGGAGGAGGAGGCGGAGGGAGAGAGCGTGAAAGAGAGAGAGAGAGGTGGGGGCAGAGAGAGAGTGCAAGAGAGAGAGAGAGAACAGGGGGGGGGAGAAAGAGAGAGAGGGAGAGAGAGAAGAGACAGAGAGAGAGAGAGAGAAGAGACAGAGAGAGAGAGAGGGGTGGGGGCAGAGAGAGAGTGCAAGAGAGAGAGAGAGAACGGGGGGGGGGGGCAGAAAGAGAGAGAGGGAGAGAGAGAAGAGACAGAGAGAGAGAGTGGGTGAGGACGGGAGTCTGAGTTTGTGTGAAACTTTCTGGAGACAGTTTTATGGAACAATCCTGCGTCTGATTTAAACAGTTTGGTCTGAAGAGACTAAGACCTGGACCAGGATCAGACCTGGACTAGAACCAGACCAAGACCAGACCAGGACTAGGACCAGACCAGGATCCTGGCTCAGGTCTGGTCATGTGACAGAGAGGTCAGGTGACTGGGGTCATGACATTTACATTCTCAGAGTCAGAGGAGAAATGTCCCTGATTTGTGTCAGACCAAAGACCGGGTTTAGTCCTGGTTTAGTCCTGGTTTTATCACTGGTTTAGACCTAGTTTAATCCTTGTTTAGACCTGATTTAGTCATGATTTAATCCTAGTTTAGTCCTTGTTTTAGTCCTGGTTTAGTCCTGGTTCAGGTCTGCTTCAGTCTTGCTTCAGACTTGCTTGGACTGGTCTTTTATTGTGAAATTCCTGTGGCGCCGTCTGGACTCTTACTGTGAAATATCACACGCCGCACTCAGAAGTGGCACTTCCTGTCTGCGCCAGAGTCCGACGCCGAGACTAAACCCGGACCAGACGTGAACCAGACCTGGACTACACCTGGGCCGGACCGAGACCCAGACATGGACTAAACCTGGACCTGACCAAGACCCAGACTTGGATTAAACCTGGACCAGACCTGACCCAGACCTGGACTAAACTTGGGTCAGACCAAGACCCAGACTTGAACCAGACCTGGACTAGACCAAGACCTGATCCAGAACTGGATTAATCCTGGGCCAGACCAAGACCCAGACCTGGATTAATAAACCTGAGCCAGACCTGAACCAGACATGGACCAAGACCCAGACCTGGACTAAACCTGGACCAGACCAACACTCAGACCTGGATTAAACCTGTTCCAGGCCAAGACCCAGACTTGAACCAGACCTAGACTAGACCAAGACCTGAACCAGAATTGAATTAAACCTGGACCAGACCAAGATCCAGACCTCGACTAAACCTGAGTCAGACCTGAACCAGACATGGACCAGACCAAGACCCTGACCTGGATAAAACCTGGACCTTACCAAGACCCAGACCTGAATTAAACCTGGGTCAGACCTGAACCAGACATGGATGAGACCAAGATTTAGACCTGGACTAAACCTGGGCCAAACCTGAACTAGACCTGAACTAGACCTGGACCAAACGTGATTCCGACTTCGCCCAGACCAAGACCCAAGCTTGAACCAGACTTGGACTAGACCAAGACTTGAACCAGAACTGAATTACATCTGAACCAGACCTGCTTTGGGATTTTAGTTCAAATGTGCATCCACCAGAGGGCAGCACTGTTCTGTACACACTCTGCTACTACTACTACCACTACTACTACTACTACACCTACTACTACTACTATTACTACTTCTACTACGACTACTATGACTACTACAATTACTACTACTTCTACTTCTACTACGTCTTTCTCTTAAAATAAACATCAGACTTTCTTTTCAAACTATTTTTTCAAGGGGACAAAATGTTTTCAGACTCGTCCAAGTCCCTGGGCGAGACCAGACCCGGACCAAGACTGAACCAAGACCAAAGACCAGAGACCAGAGATCACTTTAGAACCTACCTGGACCACTGGGGGACCACACAAGTGCAAGACCAACATGGGAATATAAAAGAAAGTATGATCGTTTAAAAGTAAAATCACATTCTATTTGTCCTGGTTTGGTCCTGGTTTGGTCCCAGATTTAGTCCTGGTTTAATCCTGGTTCTGATCCGTGTGATGTTTTTCCAGTCAATGGTGAGAGGGAGAGGGGAGCTGTTAATGTTTACACAAATCCAGGTCCAGGCAAGACCTCCCCCAGAGTCCAGATCAGAGACCAAAGAGAGTCTGACCGGACCAGAAACTAGAGTCCAGACCAGAAACTAGAGTCCAGACCAAAAACTAGAGTCCAGACCAGAAACTAGAGTCCAGACCAGAGACCAGACCAGGAGGATCTAAGTGAGAGCAGGACTGGAGCAGATAAAGGGCCGGACATCTGGGATCTGACCACACCAGGCTGCAGGACCGACCCAGATCTTTGTGTTGGACCGTTTCGTCTTTGCGCTTAATTTATTTAAACTTATTTTTATTTATTTATATTTTGGACATTACTTTTATTTTTCTTCATTTCTATTAGAAGATTCTGGAGATTCTGTCACTAATTGTGGTTGTTTTTTTGGGTTTTTTTTATTTTTGGATCATTTTAGTCCAATTTTAGTCCTGGTTTTGTCCAGGTTTAGACCACAACAAATCCCACCTCAGTCTCAGGTTTAGTATTTAGTATTAAGTTTAGTATTTTGATTGGTTTAGTCCTGATTATAGTCCAGGTTTAGTCCCGATTCAGACTCAGCTTTAGTCCAGTTTTAGTCCAAGTTCATTTCCAGGTTTACTAAAGGTTTAGTCCAGGTTTAGTCTCTTTAGTTCTATTTTAGTCCATTTTAGTTCACGTTCAGTTCCAAGTTTAGTCCACGTTTAGTCCCGGTTTTAGTCCAGGTTCAGTTCCAGGTTTAGTCCAGGTTTAGTCCAGGTTCTTTTGCAGGTTTATTGAAGGTTTAGTCCTAGGTTTAGTTCCAGTTTTAGTCCAGTTTTAGTCCAGGTTCATTTCCAGGTTTAATAAAGCTTTAGTCCGGGTTTAGTCCAGGTTTAGTCCAGGTTTAGTCCAGGTTTAGCCCAGGTTTAGTCAAAGGTTTAGCCCAGTTTCAGTTCCAGGTTTACTCACAGGTTTAGTTTAAGTCCAGTTTCAGTTCCAGGTTTAGTCCAGGTTCAGTTCAGGTTTAGTCCAGGTTTAGTCCAGGTTTAGTTCAGGTTTAGTCCTGATGGCGGTGCTCCCGCTTGTGGTCCGGATCCTGCGGAGGGTCTGGACCCTGAAGACCACGTTCATCCTGGTCCTCACTCCTTTCCTCCTGTTACCGCTGGCGATCAGTACCAAGGTAAGTCCTGGTTTAGACCTGGTTTAGTTCTGGTCTGTTCTCTTATATTACTCTAAATTGACTCTTGTGAATTTAAAGTCGTGTTATAATGTTGTTACCTCCTCAAAAACAAACCCGAAGTTGTATTTTGTTTGTTTGTTTCTCTCAAACTTACTTTGAATAACCATTTATTAGAACTCTGTCCACATGACATCACAAGGTGGAACAGAGTGTTTTCAGTTTGAGAGAAAAACTAATTCTGCAGAGTTTGTGCTTCAAACGTGTGAATGAAACAAAACACAACTCCAGGTCTGTTTGTGGTTTAGTCTTCGCTCATTCCCAGTTCGCGTCTGGTTTAAGTCCTGATTTAGTCCTGGTTTATTTCTGGTTTAGTCTTGTTTTAGTCTTGGTTTAGTCCCGGTTCAGTCTTGGTTTAGTTCTGTTTTAGTCTTGGTTCAGTTCTGGTTCAGTTCTTGTTTAGTCCTGATTCAGTCCTGGTTTGGTCTGGGATCAGTCCTAGGTTACTTTTGGTTTGGTCCTGATTTATCTCTGGGTTAGTCCAGTTTTTAGTCCTGGTTCAGTCCTGGTTTAGTCCTGGTTTAGTCCAGTTTTAGTCCAGTTTTAGTCCAGTTTTAGTCCTGGTTCAATCCTGGTTTAGTCCTAGTTTAGTCCTGGTTTAGTCCTGGTTTATTTCAGTTTTAGTCCTGGTTCAGTCCTGGTTTAGTCCTGGTTTAGTCCAGTTTTAGTCCTGGTTCAGTCCTGGTTTAGTCCTGGTTTAGTTCAGTTTAGTCCTGGTTCAGTCTTGGTTCAGGCCTGTTTTAGTCAGTTTTTAGTCCAGTTTTAGTCCTGGTTCAGTCCTGGTTTAGTCCTGGTTTAGTCCTGGTTTAGTCCTGGTTTAGTCCTGGTTTAGTCCTGGTTTTAGTCAGGTTTAGTCCTGGTTTAGTCCTGGTTTTAGTCCTGGTTTAGTCCTGGTTCAGTTCTGGTTTAGTCCTGTTTTAGTTCTTGTTTAGTCCTGGTTAGTCCTGGTTCAGTCCTGGTTAGTTCTGGTTTAGTCCTGGTTCAGTTCCTGGTTTAGTCCTGGTTTAGTCCTGGTTTAGTCCTGGTTTAGTCCAGTTTTAGTCCTGGTTTAGTCCAGTTTTAGTCCTGGTTTAGTCCAGTTTTAGTCCTGGTTTAGTCCTGGTTTAGTCCTGGTTTAGTCCAGGTTTAGTCCTGGTTTAGTCCTGGTTTAGTCCTGGTTTAGTCCTGGTTTAGTCCTGGTTTAGTCCTGGTTTAGTCCAGGTTTAGTCCAGGTTTAGTCCTGGTTTAGTCCTGTTTAGTGGTTTAGTCCTGGTTTAGTCCTGGTTTAGTCCTGGTTTAGTCCTGGTTTGGTTTAGTCCTGGTTTAGTCCAGGTTTAGTCCTGGTTTAGTCCTGGTTTAGTCCTGGTTTAGTCCTGGTTTAGTCCTGGTTTAGTCCTGTTTAGTCCTGGTTTAGTCCTGGTTTAGTCCAGGTTTAGTCCTGGTTTAGGTTTAGTCCTGGTTTAGTCCTGGTTTAGTCCTGGTTTAGTCCTGGTTTAGTCCTGGTTTAGTCCAGGTTTAGTCCTGGTTTAGTCCTGGTTTAGTCCTGGTTTAGGTTTAGTCCTGGTTTAGTCCTGGTTTAGTCCAGGTTTAGTCCTGGTTTAGTCCTGGTTTAGTCCAGGTTTAGTCCTGGTTTTAGTCCTGGTTTAGTCCAAGTTTAGTCCTGGTTTAGTCCAGGTTTAGTCCTGGTTTAGTCCTGGTTTAGTCCCTGGTTTAGTCCTGGTTTAGTCCAGGTTTAGTCCTGGTTTAGTCCTGGTTTAGTCCTGGTTTAGTCCAGGTCCTTTTAGTCCTGGTTTAGTCCTGGTTTAGTCCTGGTTTAGTCCTGGTTTAGTCTTGGTTTAGTCCTGGTTTAGTCCTGGTTTAGTCCTGGTTTAGTCCTGGTTTAGTTGGTTTAGTCCTGGTTTAGTCCTGGTTTAGTCCTGGTTTAGTCCTGGTTTAGTCCTGGTTTAGTCCTGGTTTAGTCCTGGTTTAGTCCTGGTTTAGTCCTGGTTATCTGTTCAGTTTTTGTGATTTGGTGAATGAGCATCTGAAACCTGAATCAGTCACAGATAAACCGGACTTTGCTCTGACCTCGGACTTGGACAGGACTCAGTTAACGTTAACCCTGTCCACACCGGGTCCAGACCAGGATCATAACCGGATCTGGACCACGATCTCTGGCCTCTGTGGGTCTGTGTGTCTCTTTTTCCCACAGTCCCCCCCATCCCCCCCCTCCCGCTGGTGTGCACATAGATTACCCAGCATGCCTCGGGGCGGGTCATTGTGATTCTCAGCATGTCTTGGCAGGTGCAGGTGTCAGGTTCGGTTGGCAGGTGCAGGCGTCAGGTGCAGGGTGTTGCATCAGAGTAGGAATGTGTCTGAGCGACCAATCAGAGCGCAGTATTCTGTAAGAGTAAATATCAGAGTAAAAATGCATCAAAGATTTGGTGTTTTTCAAAAATTAGACAAAAAAAAAAACAACAACATCTGAATCTGTGTGTCATTTGTTCAGTTGTTTTTCAAAATAAAACCAAAAATAAGAAAACAAAAAAACAACTATTTTCATCATTATTTGAAAAAAAAAAAAATGATTGATGACAATGACAATGATTTTCCAGTTTTCGATTTTGTGTTTAAATGAAAAATGGAAAAAACAGAGAAAGGCCTTTTCCCGTTTACGTGACTTAAACTGCGATGCCGGACTGAACCAGGACTGAACCAGGACTAAAACAGGACTGAACCAGGACTGTATCAGGTTCGGGACAAGACCAGAACCAAATCGAGACTGAGATCGGGACCTAGACCAAGACCAGACCAGGACTGACTCCGGGACCAAAGTGGGACCAGGACCAGGATTGAGACCAGGACTGAGACTAGGACTGAGACAGGGACCAGACCAGAACTGAGACCAGGACTAAGACAACTCAGTCCTTGTCTCAGTCCTAGTCTCAGTCCCACTTTGGTCCCGGAGTCAATCCTGGTCTGGTCCTGGCCTAGGTCCCGATCTCAGTCTCGATTTGGTTCTGGTCTGGTCCTGGACATGATATAGTCCTGGTTTAGTCCTGGTTTAGTCCTGGTTCAGTCCTGGTTCAGTCCTGGTTTAGTCCAAATCATCAGTTTTTTCATTTTGGTTTTGGAGACAAAAAAATGAAGAAAATAGTTGTTTTTTTGTTTTCTTATTTTTGGTTTTATTTTGAAAAACGAACAAATGACACACAGATTCATCTGGTCCACTAAAAAGACATGACAAGCCTTTGCACATGTGGCTGAATGTCCCCTCCACTCTTCACCCCCAGTTCGCCCCAGATGCAAGGTAGGATGACTGGAGGGCAGGGACAGTAAACGAAGACAACAGAATGATTGAAAATGAATAATGTGTATGTACAGAAATAAAAGTAAAAGAACCCAAATCAAATTAAATCAATTAAATGTCCACCACCGTCCGTTAATCGTCAGCAGTGATGCGGTCGCTGTATCGGACCTTTGTGCTGAAGAGGAAAAGCTCTCAATTTACCGTGAATCTATGCTCCTCCCCTCACCTATGATCATGAGCTCTGGGTAATGACCGAAAGGACAAGATCACGAATACAGGACACACTGTCTCTGGGCTGGCCTGGGAACGCCCCCCTGGAGGAGCTGGAGGAAGTGTCCGGGGTGATGGAAGTCTGAGAGTTCCTGCTTAGACTGCTGCCCCCTTGAGCCGGCCCCGGATAAGCGGAAGAAAATGGACGGATGAAATTAAATGTCCTTTGAAGCTGAATGTCTATCAAAATCCAGTCAGTTCTCCCAACATGGGAAAAAAACAGAAATCGAGCAACAGGATAGTACAGTACAATAGTTTGTAAGCAATTATTGTGAAAGGTGCATCGTCCTTTAAGTTTAATTTGTCCGACAGTTTTCGACCAGATCCAAAAGTTTCATTAAATGCGGCATTTTCAATCGTAGGGAAAGGCTCACTAAAACTAAAACCTGGTGATGGACCAGGCCTAAGAGGCGGTCCTCCAACCAAAGGGGAGGAGCCAAGGTAAGACTCCTCGAAGGAATTATGTCATCACCTGGTGTGCTGTTTAAATAAATGTTGTGTATATATTATTGTATATATTATTGTATATATTAGTGTATAAATGTATATATTAGTGTATATATTATTGTATATATTAATGTATATATTAATGTATATTATTGTATGTGTGTGTCCAGGAGGCGGCGTGTGCGTACGTGATCGCGCTCATGGCCGTGTACTGGTGCACTGAGGCGCTGCCCCTCGCCGTCACCGCTCTGCTGCCCACTGTCCTCTTCCCCCTGCTGGGCATCATGGAGAGCAAAGACGTGAGTAGTATTATACTACTACTATTAATACTTGTACTAGTACTGCGACTATTACTATTAATACTACAAATGATACTGCAGTTTCTCCTGTAATACTAGATTAGAATAAAGTGTAGTAGTCTGAGAGTTGGCACGATACAGCAGTTTATTTCCCCTACTACTACTGTTACTACTACTACAACTGCTACTATTACTAATACTACTAATGCTGCCTCTTGTACTACTATTTACTACTATTACTACTACTACTACTACTAGTACTATTACTGCTAATTTAATACTGTTACTACTACTACTATGGCTACTCCTACTACTAATACCACTACTACAACTACTACTACTACTGCTACCTCTAGTACTACTGATACTAACTGTGGTATTACCACCACAGCCACCACCACTACTACTACTACTACTACTACAACCACTGCTACAACTATTACTACTATTACTATTACTGTTGCTACCACAGTTTCAGTTCTGACCTGGTTCTGACCTGGTTCTGACCTGGTTCTGACCTGGTTCTGTCCCGGTTCTCCTCAGGTGTGCGTGCAGTACCTGAAGGACACAAACTTCTTGTTCGTTGGCGGTCTGTTGGTGGCGGTGGCGGTCGAGCACTGGGACGTCCACAAACGCATCGCACTCAGAGTCCTGCTGATGGTCGGAGTCCGGCCCGCTCTGTGAGTGTGACAGACCTGGTCCAGACCTGGTCCAGACCTGGTCCAAACCTGGTCCAGACCTGGTCCAGACCTGGCTCAGGCTTGGTTTAATTTTGGTTCCTTCCAAGTTCAGTCCCACTTTAGTCCTGGTTTAATCCAGGTTCAGTCCTAGTTTAGTCCTTGTCCAGTCCTGGTTCAGTCCTGGTTTAGTCCTGGTTTAGTCCCAGTTCAGTCCCGGTTTGGTTCTGGTTCAGTCCTGGTTTAGTTCTGGTTCAGTCCTGGTTTAGACCTGGTTCAGTCCTGGTTGTGTTTCAGGCTGATGTTGGGCTTCATGTCGGTCACGGCGTTCCTCTCCATGTGGATCAGTAACACGGCCACCACCGCCATGATGGTCCCGATCGTCCAGGCCGTTCTGGACCAGCTCCACGGATCCAAACCAGACCAGGACCAGACCGAGGCCAGACCTGAGACCAAACCTGAGACTGGACCTGAGACCGGACCTGAAACTAGACCTGAGACCCACCCAGAACCAAAGACCGACCCGGGATCAGGGGAGAAAGTCCAGATGGAACCAGCGGAGAAGATCCACAGTGTCCTCCAGCCCAGCCCTGAACTTGGTAACTCTTCCTCTGCTCTTCTGACCCTCTGACCTTCTCATCTGCTCCTCTGACCTTCTCCTCTCCTCCTCTGACCTTGTCCTCTGTTCCTCTGACCTTCTCCTCTCCTCCTCTGACCTTCTCCTCTGCTTTTCTGACCTTCTTCTCTGCTCCTCTGACCTTTTCCTCTGCTCTTCTGACCTTCTTTTCTGCTCTCTCCTCTGACCTCTCTCTTCTCTCTCTCCTCTGACCTTCTCCTCTGCTCTTCTGACCTTCCTCTTCTCTCTCCTCTGACCTTCCTCTCTTCTGCTCCTCTGACCTTCTCTCTCTCTCTCCTCTGACCTCTCTCCTCTGCTCCTCTGACCTCTCTCTTCTCTCTGCTCCTCTGACCTTCTCTTCTGCTCCTCTGACCTTCTCTCCTCTGCTTCTCCTCTGACCCTCTGACCTTCTCTTCTGTTCCTCTGACCCTCTCCTCTGCGTCTCCAGGTGTGATCTCAGAGAAGTTACCGTCAGAACACATTGCTCCGCCTCTTCCAGTGAAGCTCCTCCCCCAGGCCCCGCCCAGCTCAGGTAACACTGGACCCTGTATACGTCATAAATCAAATCTTATATATCGCAGGAAGTGATCATGGGTGCATATCAGCTCCATCGGCTCAGGCTTGAGTTCACTTTATTGAAAAACCTGCTGCTGTCAAGCTTGTCTTTGACTTTAAAATGCTGCTCACTCTTAGGGATGTAACGGTAATACAATATTGTCACAGTATGAACCTCACGTTACGATATTTATTGCGATATCGTAGGAAAGCTCACGATATCATGGGGAGGCTCATGATTAGGGATGTAACAATATCCAAATCTCTTGATACAATATTTTCACGATATACATCTCACGGTACAATATTTATTGCGATATTTTATGTGAATGTGCTACTTTTTCTTCTTAAAATGCCTTGACAAGATTTAATCCAAAGAACTAAGTCTTAAAAGTGTGAGAACTGTTATTTCTTCTTGTATTCTGCACTGAAATGGAGCAAAGGATCATGGTCTATGTAGTTCCCTCTGTGTTTTTTGCTGCACCAGAACTTTTCATTTAAGCAAAGCGACTTCGATAATTCGATATATTGTGATGATATTGTGAGAACTTTGACGATATGATATCACAATATTTCGGTTATTCTTACATCCCTACTCACTCTACATAATCCTGTTTTTTTGTTTTTTACATTCAAGATGTGAACATAAATAACAGACCAATCAGGTGCCTTCTTTCTCCAAGGTGAACCCTCGTTAAACCAGCAGTTCAGGTGGAAATGCTCTTTGATTTCACTTGCTAACCTCGATGAGCTTCATTGAACACAGAGGCGGAGCTACCATTAGGCAACAGTGGGCGGCGTCCCAGGGCCCCTGAACCTGGAGGGGCCCCCAACCAATTACCCTCAGTGCCACTAATGACCAAGGCCTCAGAGTAACTTGATTTTCTCTCAATGACATTAAATGAGAGTAGTTTTACTTTTAAACAAGAAAAAACACATCAAAATAGTATCTGATTGTCAAATCTATTTTAACTGTCAAAGCATTTTGTTTCACATTAGAATGGACGAGTCAGCGTGACCCTGATTTGAACATAATCGTATTAATAATCATATAATAATCATGGATGTAAACAAAAATGTAATTGTTGTAGCAAAAAGACATAAGTTTTTAAAGTTCTGGTTTTCTAGTAGGCGATCGAACTAACAAGACAAGTTTCCAAACCACCGTAATTGAAATAGAGATGTGTGTGTCTCAAAAGTAATGGAGAAAAACAAGCAATAAATATTTTAAAAATACAAAACATCAAAGAACATGGTTCTGAATAAGTTCAGAGCTGCAGCCTCCTGGTCTAAACACAGCAAACAAGATGGAGTCAATATTTTTTGCATTTTCACTTGTTTGAGATTCGACCTTTGAGCCAAACATCTGTGTCCTAACCCCCTGTGTTTCTGACCCCCCTCTCCCTCTCTCCCTCTCCCTCTACCTCTCTTCTCTCTCTCTTCTCTTCTCTTCCTCTCTGTAGTGATCCTGTCTCTGGAGCTGGAGGAGCTCGGTGATGAAGAGGAGGAGGAGAAGCTGAGGCGGTCTAAAGGTTTACTGCTGAGTGTTTGTTACGCCGCGAGTATCGGAGGAATCGCCACTTTGACCGGAACCGGACCGAACCTGGTGCTGGTCGGACAGATGAGCCAGTGAGACAACACAAAACACACAACACAAAACACACAGAACACAGACACACACACACACACACACACACACACACAACACACACAAACACACACACACACACAAACACAACACACACACAAAACACACAGAACACACACCACACACACACACACACACACACAAAACACACAACACAAAACACACAACACACAACACACACACACACAACACAACACAACACAAAACACACAACACAAAACACACAGAACACACACCACACACACACACACAACACACACACAACACAAACACAAACACACAACACAAAACACACAGAACACACACACACACCACACACAACACAAAACACACAAACACACACACACACAACACACAACACACAGAACCACACACCACACACACACAACACAACACAAACACAACAACACAAACACAAACACACACACACACAACACAAAACACACAGAACACAGAACACACACACACACACACACAACACAACACAAAACACACACATCGCACAACACAACGCACGTTTAACACACAAATGCTGCATTTTTAGACTATGTTCTTTTCTCAAACTGAAGACATTCCACCTTGTGATGTCACATTTTAACACAGGAAGTGCTCCACTGTGTTTTTAAACTCCACACACTTTCACTAGAATCATTTGGATCATTTCAGTCCTGGAATTGCCGAGATATCTCTGTATATATCAGACAGATGTAAGGAAGTGTCCTCCAGCGTCCGACCAGAACTGAACAAGCAGCTTGGATGAACTGAGAAACATATTCAACCAAAATAAACTTTTGTCCAGTCGGCAAATTGAATTTCTCCTAACCCTAACCCTTTTGCCTTGGGATTTTACACACAAACTGATCTAAAGGTACATTTATTAAATTAAAAACTACCACTTCATGACATCACAAGGTGGAACAGAGCATTTTGAGCTTTGGAGATGTAGACAAGTTTGTTTTTGAGGAGGTAACAACTTTATAACCCGGCTTAAAGCTCACAAGAGTTGGTTTTGTGTGACATAGGACAAGGGTTCCCAAACCCCGGGCCAGGGACCAGTACCAGGCTGTGAAAGTGAGATCCTTATCAGTATTTACTTTATATCTCTGTGTTCTTTTGTTCTTGTTTCAGACTGTTTCCTCAGAACGGAGACGTGATAAACTTTGCGTCGTGGTTCGCCTTCGCCTTCCCCACGATGGTGCTGATGCTGACGCTGGCCTGGCTCTGGCTGCAGCTGCTCTACATTGGCTGCAAGTACGAACAGTTTTCATCTGTACTTTATCACAACATGTAGAACTCATAATTATTTATTTTACTCACTTAAAGAGAGGGTATTATGCAACATCGATTTTTCTATTTCTTCTTATGGTGAGCAGTATGAGCTAGACCCGACGCAGAACAGTGCAGCACGGGACACATTTTGAGAGCTCATTACGAACATGGGTGGGAGCAAACTAAATATGAGTGTAAAGTAAAATATACACATGATTAATGTTTGCCTATCATACATCATTTGTGCTCAATATTTTATTTGGCATTAATAAAACATTTTAAGCAGCCTAAACTTGGGGACGTGGGCTAATCTCATAGCCTGATTCATCAGCCGCTTTCACTTCATAGAAACTGTCTGACTGTCAGGATTGGAATTCGTTCGCTCGACGGTAGGCGGGTACTTTTTTTATTTAACCAGTCGCTGCTGTTTGGTCGTGACATATGTAATGCACCACTAACGGAGCTAACTAGTATATTAAGCTTTTCCCAAATCCCATAGAAAGAAGGGAAATAACGTCTTTCCCCTTGATAAAATTCACCAAATATTCTCTTTGTTCCGGCTTTAAATCCTTGATCTCGGGAATCGTTGCCAACACTGAATGTCTGACTCTTCGCTGACTAACTGGTGCCCGAACTCGCACTTCCAGGGTTTTTGCAAACCGTCTATTGTATTCTGATTCCTGATCTAGTCGCTGGAGAGAAATGAATCTGAGCAGAGGCACTAGATGACGCCAGTCTGGCTACTAATGTCACGCACATTTTAGACAATTCCTTTCCAATTCTCCATGTTTGATAGAGCTTAAAAAAAGTGAACATCCTCATTTTGGGGGACTGGTGAGCGGGAGCAGGACAAAATATCACAGTTGCAGGCGGGAGCAGGATTGAAAATTACAATTCTTTGCAGCCGTGGGCGGGAGCGGGACTGAAAATTCTGTCCAGCACAGACAGTTCTCCAGAAATTTACAAAAACATACAGGACTCTACGCAGCAACTTGACAAACCTAATGTGATGTGCAGTGGTTTCATTAGTGGGCTGCACTCTGGACGATAATAGAAGTGTAATACTCCCTATGTCATTTTGTTTTATGTAGTAGTTTTCTTAGTACAGAGAGTTTTTTAGTCTAAAGACATGACCCTGAAACATGAGGCGCTCAAAGGAACAGCACGTTTCTCATAGTTTTTGTTTTTTCTTTGGATTCACGTGTTTTTAAAGTTTGTTTTGACTCACACTGCCTCTCACCGTCTGACCAATCACAGCGCAGAGGTGTGTCTGGCCCCGCCCCCTCACAGCGTCCTGGAGAGAGTCTGGGACCTGCACACCGCGTCACGAGAGGCCTGGTGCAGTCCTGGTTTAGTTCAGGTTTAGTCCTGATTTAGTCCTAGTTTGATCCTGTTTCAGTCCTGGATTAGTTCTGGTTTAGTCCTCGTTATGTCTGGTTTAGTCCTGGTTTAGTCCTTGTTAGTTCTGGTTTAGTCCTGGTTATGTCTGGTTTAGTCCTGGTTTAGTTCTTGCCCCATGTGTAAATCTAAAGGTGCAGGGAGAATCACTGTCAACAAATTCAATTTTGTCATGAAATTAAATCGTAGACAATGATTTATCTTAAAACTAAGATTTCACCTTAACTTTGCTCTTTGTGGTTAATGTTTCACCTTCTTATTTAACCGAAATAATAGACTTAATTCAGCTTTTCCACTCTGGAGCATGGTTTCAGATATTTGCGTTTTTAAGCCCCAAAAACGCCATCACCGTCTAAACGAAAGACACGTCCCATAAAATATTTCGTCGTTTTTACTCACAAACATTCTGGTGTAAAGAGGTTAGTTGTGTTAATTTACATTTACAGTCTACGGTTCAGTCACAGAAATAAGGTTAGGTCCATTTCTGGTTTAATCCTGGTTCAGTCCTGGTTCAGTCCTGGTTCAGTCCTGGTTTATTCCTCATTACCTCCGCCAAGGAGGTTATGTTTTTGCCGGCGTTTGTCTGTTTGTTTGTTTGTTTGTTTGTTTGTTGTTAGCAACATAACTCAAAAAGTTATGGACCTATTTTGATGAAATTTTCAGGATTTGTTGGAAATGTGAAAAGGAAGAACAGATTTCATTTTGGGGGTGATCCGGAAGAAATCCTGGATTCTGGATCACTTTGAAATTTTACTTAACATTGTGGTAAATGGGGCCAAAAATTTTGTTTCTCAATATCTCAATTAATTATTGACCAAACCCCATGAAATTTGACTCAGGGATGGACAATGGGATCCTCTTTCATATTCCAAAGGCTGATCCGGATCTGATCCAGAAGACTGATTTTATCGCAATTTATATAAAAAATGGGGGTAGTCCTTGGCGGAGGTCTGCGCTCTCTGACTGCTTTTCTAGTTTAGTCCTGGTTCAGTCTTGGTTCAGTCTTGGTTTTATTTCTGGTCCAGTCCTGGTTTAGTTCTGGTTTAGTCCTGGTTTAGTCCTGGTTCAGTCTTGGTTCAGTCCTGGTTCAGTCTTGGTTCAGTCTTGGTTTTATTTCTGGTTCAGTCCTGGTTTAGTTCTGGTTTAGTCCTGGTTCAGTCCTGGTTCAGTCTTGGTTTTATTTCTGGTTCAGTCCTGGTCTTGTCTCCTCAGCGTGTTCAGGTCGTGCAGCTGTGGATCTTCTCGGTCTCAGGAGGAGGACTCGGCCTTCAGACTGATCCAGGAGCAGCACCGGAGCCTGGGGCCCATCAGCTTCGCCCAGTGCAGTGTGCTGCTGCTCTTCAGCCTCATGGTGGCGCTGTGGTTCACCCGAGACCCGCGCTTCATGGACGGATGGGCCACGCACCTCTTCAACAACAACAAAGAGTGAGTCCTGCTTTAGTCCGGGTTCTTGGTTCAGTCCTGGTTCAGTCCTGCTTTAGACCTGGTTTAGTCCTAGTTTATATTTGGTTTAGTGATGGTTTAGTCCTGGTTCATTCATTCATCCTGGTTTAGTTGTAGTTTAGTTGTATTTTAGGCCTGGTTTAGACCTGATTAAGTCCTGATTTAGGCCTGGTTCATTCCTTGTTTAGGAGTGGTTTAGACATGGTTTAGTCCTGGTTTAGAGCTGGTTTAGTCCTGGTTCATTCCTGCTTTAGATTTGGTTTAGTCCTAATCTATATCTGGTTTGGTTTAGTCTTGGTTTAGTCCTGATTTAGTGCTGGTTTAGTTCTGGTTTAAAGCTGGTTTAGTCCTGATTAGATCCTGGTTTAGTTCTGGTTTAGTCCTGGTTTAGTCCTAGTTTAGACCTGATTAAGTCCTGGTTTAGTCCTGGTTCATTCCTGGTTTAGTGCTGGTTTTGGCCTGGTTTAGACTTGGGTTAGTCCTGGTTTAGTCCTTTGGCTTAGACCGTGTTTAGTCCTGGTTTAGACCTGATTAAGTCCTGGTTCATTCCTGGTTTAGTGCTGGTTTAGTCCTGGTTTAGTCTTGATTAAGTCCTGATTAATTCCTGGTTTAGTCCTGGTTCATTCCTGGTTTTGTGTTGGATTAGGCATGGTTTAGTTTTGGTTTAGTCCTGATTTAGACCTGAGTAAGTCCTGCTTTAGTTCTGGTTCATTCCAAGTTTAGTGCTAGTTTAGACCTAGTTTAGGTGTAGTTTAGTCCTGGTTTAGTCCTGGTTTAGACCTGACTAAGTCCTAGTTAGTCCTGGTTCATTCCTGGTTTAGTTCTGGTCTAGTCCTGGTTTAGTTCTGGTTTAGTTCTGGTTTAGACCTGATTAAGTCCTGATTTAGGCCTGGTTTAGTGCTGGTTCATTCATGGTTTAGTCCTGATTTAGTCCTGGTTCAGTCCTGGTCTAGTCCTGACGTGTATACTACAAAACTAGTTGGTCTGAGCCAGATTTTAATTCAGTGAAACGGCTTCTCAATGACGGAACCTCAGCTCAGACAGTGTGACACGTTTGAGTTTTGAGCGCCCCCTCTGGTGAACGCTGGTAAATGCTGCACCTCCGATCCTCTGTGAGCTAAACCTCCGTCTGTACTCTGTGTTTCATCAGTGATTACACGTGATAAAAAAGGGTTCATCATGTCATAACGCTCATTTATAATATGTGCAGACAGACTTGTTCAAACAGAGACAGACCTGATCGAAGTTCGGGCTCGGACCAGGTCTAACCGCGCTGAAAACTGATCCGCCTTTGAGATAAAGAAAATCCAGGGTCTGAGTTTGACTGACCCACTTAAGCCTCCTGTTTGTCTGAATAACGTACCCCCAGACCCTCGTTATGACATGAGTTTGAGTCTTGATAAAGTCCGGACTATGGTTTGACTTTGGTCCAGAACTGAACCTGTTCCAGAACAAACAGGAAACTGAGGCGCCGGGCAAACACTGACAACATCATCACGGACTAAACCTGGACTAAACCTGGACTCAAGATGGACTTTAGCAGTTCTGGTCCGGGTTCAGGCCGGTCCAATGTTAAAAAAAAAAATCCTCAAGGGAAAAACTAAAGTCTTAATTAAAGCTGCACTAGTGTGAAATTAAGTTTATTCAAGTATTTATTGATTCAGTTACAGGAGTGTTATTGTCGTTCTGTGATTTGGGTTCGCTTCTCCACAGATTTGACCTGTAACTTGATCTGTCTTAAGTCTCCAAGAAGATAGATATTTTTTTAATTTTCTTACAAATATGAAAAAATAATCAGGCAAAGTTTGATTACCGTATTTTTTGGACTATAAGTCGCCCCGGAGTATAAAAGTCGCACCAGCCAAAAAATACGTAATGAAGAAGAAAAAAACATATGGTTCATTCCACGCCATTTGATCAGACAGTTTCTGTTTATTTATTCTTCTTCATTCTTTATGTTTGGGAGCTTTACCTGCTGGAATTAAACATAGTACATGGTCACTGTGTACTCGTGCCATTGTGTCAAATGTGAATGTTCAAGATACAATTAAAAGTTGAAGGAGCGTCAAAAAATACATATGTTTGGTTCCATATGAAAGGTCTTTTTCTGGTCTTTTAAAGAAAAATTATTCCAAATTTTTTTTATCACTACCCACATGCCATAAATTACATGTGAAAATCGGACCATGTTGCATTTTCTTGTTTTTAACAGGATCTTCACACATATCCTATTTCAAATTTTCAACATTTGGTGATTTTTTTTAACAGTCCTAGTACATATCTTGATTCTCAAAAAAATGTAAGGGTCTACTACAAGTAGGTTTTAAAAGGGGCTAAAAGTGGTACGCCATAAAAATGAAGGAGTGTTTTTTGTTTTGTTTTGTTTTTTAAGTTCATATAAAAAGACCATGAGTTGAGATACCAAACTTTCGATAGATGTTATTTGAACACAGAGTAGAGGAGTACAAGCCTACAAAATGTCACCCCTCTATGTGTGATACTTACGATGATATTGACCTGTGAAAACGGCTGAGAAAAAATGACGTGATTATGGGCCTGTAAATTGACACATACTCCCCTCACTAAATGAGCTGTAACTTGACAAGTATTGACTGAAAATCACTAAAACTTCACAGGGTTGGTACATGATAGTAAGGGACTATTTGGTAATGTTTTAAAAAAATTTGGGATCAAAGTGCGTGGGCCATGTGTTGACATGGCGTGGAATGACCCATATATAAGTCACACTTTTTGGGGGAAACAGTTGTTTTTATAAAGTTGTAGTAAAAACAGCAGAAGAGAGAACAACAGACTGTTAACGTCACATATGAACAGTTCTTCAGATAAACTATAACATAAATCAACAGAACAGAACAAGTTTAACAAACTCTCCATCTCACTCCAAATCACTAAATCCATTCAGTTCTTCATCCTCGGTGTCACTTCTGAACAACTCCACGACCTCCGGAGGTAAACGTTGCGCCGCTTCCTCTTCTGTGTCGCTGTCGTCAGACTCAGCATCAGTTCCAGTTAGAATTATTCGGGTCTTTCTGAATCCCGACAGGATGGTTTTGGTGTCACTGAAGTCCAGACTTTGTCCATCCATCCAGTGACTTCAGGAAAGTTTCATGGTGCATCTTCCCGGTGTCACAAGTTTCTCTCTCACTCCAAACTTTCTTTCTGCTGCTTGGTTTCCATTTTCAGCTGCAGATTTCACGACTTGCAGTTTGTAATCTGCTAAATCTGATTTTGTTTTCGAGGGCATTTGTGTTCAGTCTTCTCAGTCGTCTTTATACGTTTGTTTACATGTTAAATTGTTCAGAGGTGCAGAAGTAATGGTGCGATCGACTGACATGATACAGACAGAACAGAGGCTCTTTCTGCGTTTTTTTAAGACAACTGAAGGATTTTGAGCAGAGAAAAAGTTTATGAGCTAAAAATAGGTAAAAATCACCAACAAATCTGACATTTTTGAAAGCTGTAAGTCCCTGTCAGACGAACACGAGCAGTTTGTGATTACATTGTGCTCTATGAGATAAATCCTGTCTCAGTCCAGGGGATTATTTCGCTGTAATTCCAGTGAGCGACAACTGGAGGCACATACAAGCAGCAACACCCTCCATTTATATGAAGAGATCCATGATAATACTCTGTTCCACCTTGCGATGTCATGAAGTGGACGTTTTCAAGTTAACAGCTTCATTTTACATTTTAGCTTTAACAAGTTCAGTAAAGATTGGTAATTCCAGGGCTTAAATTATCCAAATGATTCTAGTGAAGGTTTATGGAGTTCAAAAACTCAGAGGTGGAACAGAGAGTTTTCTGTTGTTGAGCAGAACTCTTAAATATTCATGGTTTTTGTGTTAAACATGTGTGAATGAAACAAAACACAACTCCAAGTTTGTTTGTGATGAGGAAATGAGTGTTCTCCCGTTTAACATCTCATTCTCAAATTGTTCTGTTTGTTTTGGGAGCTGTTCTGAAGTGAATCAAACACGGCACATGATACAGTCACATGACCCCGTGTGAACTTTGACCCCTCGCGCTGAGAGGAACACTGACGTTTGTTTAGAGTCGTTCCATTCACAAAAACATGTTTACTCCGTCACGCCGCTATCATCAGTGACGCGTGGAACAAAGAGTCAACAAATGTCCAAAAGTTAGAAGAAATGTCTCGCAGTTTTGCTTTAACCCGGTTCTATGTAGAGTTTTTCGCAGAAACGTGACATGTTTTGTTTCATTCACATGTTTCAGTAATCAGTGAAACATTCGCTGTACGCTGTAATAACTCTGCAATTTTATTTTCTTAATCAGTGATTCACAGGATTTGACATTGTGGTGTCATTTTTGCACAAATGATAAAAAATCTGCTCGCTATGAAGAGCCAAGAGCATGAAGCACTTTGTTCTGATGATGTTTACAGCGACATCAGCTCCCACTGGGCACCGCAGATTTCTAATACAGAAGTCAGCATCGGGCTTGTTTCTTTTTTTAAATCATCTCAAATCATTTTCAGATGAATACTCATTTCCTAGTGAGTCAGAGTGTTGAAGACGTGTGGAGACACTTTTTTAAAGGGGCCAACTGATGCAAAATAACTCTTTTCACATTATATCTTTGCACATATACAAGCACAATTTGGGTTTTGGAACATCCATTACACAACAGTTATGAAATCTTACTGATTTCTTGGAGGCAATCACAGACCAGGAACTATGAAAGGCCGACTATTGCTCCTCCCGCCGCCCGTCCTGTGAAGCGGTTTCTGCTACGTCAAACACGTCATCCTTGTAGCAGCTTTAGTTCGTTGTCACGTGGGAGAGGATGGCAGAAATATGCTGCAATTTGTTAAAAAAATGCCAAAGTGGTCTAAAAACCACTTCAGCGACATATACAAGGCCCACACATCACTCTTAGAAGGTAGAAAGCTCTGAAATTTAGATTTTGCATGAGATGGGCCCTTTAAATATTCCATCCAGTCCTTGTATTTGCAGAGGTCGCTGGTGCTAGGATAGTGCATGTCAGCGGGGCTGAGCCCGCGGCCGGGCCGGCCCAGCCATGGGCTCTGAGCTTCCGCGGGCTCTTAGCTCTGACCGGGCCGTGGGCTCCGGTTCACTGGTCTTTCTCTTTCTTCTCCTTCCAGACGCCCCTGAGGCGTCCAAATAGAGGTGTCCAGTGCAGTTTTCGTCGCTGTGGTCTTGCTTACATAATGCTATCACAGAGTATTCACAAAGGCCCGAAAGATCTCAGATCAGACAACTGTCAATCTCAAACTTCGTTCCAGCCACCGGTTCAGTGCAGCAGGGGGAGTCGCTGATTTACCCAGATACCATTGGAAGAAAAACTGTGATCGGTCCATTTCCATTCCATTATATTAACTTATAAAAGGTTATAAATGACTTTTGTTTCCCAAGTAGTAGTATTTATTACTCACTGAATAAAAAATATTGAAAAAATATATTTGTAGTACAAAAATTCATTCGATATTTTTTCTTGAGCCTTCAGAAAACCTTGAAGTCTCTGAGTGTTCTCGTCTGAAAGAAATGCTGTTTGCACAACAAATGTTTTACTCTTTCATTTACATTTCCAGTAAAAGTGCAGCGATACTCTACTTTATTTCATTCATTGGTTTTGCGTATAACATGCGATTAATTGCGATTAATCACTCAAACTCATGCGATTAATGCGATTAATTTTTTTTAAATTTTTGCCCAGCCCTACATATAATACAAGATATAAATAGTACAAATCCCAACATCCAATACATAGAAAGATACACAGTATAAAAATACATCACATAAAAAGATTTTAAACAGTTTCATGGAGACAAAGATGTAAAACAGGAATTGACTACATATTTAAAGCTTGTGGTTTTAAAGGAAGGAGGAGAAATCTAACTCTCCTTTGACTCCTGGAAACTGGGGGCCTTGAGAGTGTAGATCCAGTAGGAGTCTCTCTGTAAGAGTTTTTCAGTCAGTCTCCTCCTCTTATTGTTTCTTTAATATGTTCAATTGCACAGGTTTTTATTATTATTACAGGTTTTTGTAATAATTGTTTTGCTTCGGGTGTTTTGTGGAGTGGGTAAGTGGGTTTTTAGTGGCAGGATAAACTATGACCATTGACCAATGCTCTAGTGACCTCTGCAAATACAAGGACTGGATAGAATATTTTAAAAAGTGTCTCCAACACTCTGGCTCACAAAGAAATGAGGTCCTATGTCCAAAATTCTGACCTGTCCCTTTAAAATGTCCAAAAAATAACAGAATGATCCACAGTTGTTATAGATTTTAACTGTAGAGCAAACACAAGCTCAGTGTGTTTCAGCTTTGTGGGATGAATGATTTGGGGCCCAACACTGCCCCCTGTGGGACACCATAAAAATACCAAACTTTACAAACAGTTTTTACAAAGTCCTACTTTTCCCAGTCCCCTGCCTCCCCACGTCGCTCTAACCTGTTTATTAAAATGTTGTGAATCAGTTCCAGTCGTTTGAAGCTGCAGCTGCGTCAGGAGAGCGCTCTGCTCTGTTCTGTTCTGTATCCTCCGCAGAAGTGGGCTAAAGGGGAAGCCTGTGTGAAAATGGGTGAGAGGTTAAAGGTCACTAGAGCTGTTAGAGTTGAGCTGGTTCGTCTGCAGCTCCGGAGTCACGTGCGGGATACGTGCATCGAGGTCGCCGGTTCGATTCTGGAGCGAGCCAGTGCCGTTTATGTTTAAACACACGATAAAACGAGCAGCAGGTCACTTATAGAAAACCTAAACACAACTTCAGAGGGTCAGTGAGAAGGAAGGAACTATCACAGGGACAGGCTTTTTTTTTTTTTTTTCATGCAGCCACATGAGAAACAGAAAATATTGTGTCAGGCCAACTCAATTCTGCATAATATTAATTTTATTTCTTTATAAAAATGAGCTGTTAAGACTGGTAAGAGTTTATGTTATGACTAAGCAATGAAAAAGTGAGGCTGCCTTACAAAGAAAATGCCATTAAAACCTAAAATAAAAGTAGTGCCGCTTTAGTCCATGCATGGAGTGAAATGATAAAATATGTTCATTTTGTAATTACCTGGTTCCCGAAGTGTTGACCAGGTTTTGTTTTCACCCTGTGTGTGTGTGTGTGTCTGTGTCCACCTACGATAAATCTGCCCTTTATGAACCGATTGTCAACCAATCTCGTAAAAAAAAGTTTGGTGATGATCCGAGGTCATTTGAGGTCACACGGGTCAGTTGAAAAGTCACGCCATTATAAAGGATAAAGGCAATTTTGGCAATTTCTGAACCGTCTGCGGGTTAAAATATTCACCCAATCATCACACAAGTTGGCCCGCACATAACCGGGGCACACTGGATGCTACAGGTTGAAACTGGTAAAGGTCACTTGAAGGTCAAGATAACCAAGGTCAAATATGCATTTTTGGTCATAACTCCACGAAGGATCGAGCTCGAGCAACAGGAGTGTCTCAAAATCTCTGAAAAATTATTATCTATTTATAATTCTATGCATTTGTAAAATATGTAATATGTAAATATATGTATAAAATATTAATAGTTTTCCAGATAATCACTAATTATAACTTATATCTTTCAGTGTATGCTGTTAAAATTCTAATTGGAACTTTTTCTGGTGAAACACAACACACTGATCTACAGTCACACAACTACACACACAACTCATGAAAAATGACATTTTGGTTCCACACTAGTAAACACAGACATTCCCATGTGTGACCAACATCACACTAATGTTCATGGGCCTGTACAGATACACACATTACATTGTGGATATCAAAGATCATGTAATATGGGCTGGACTCCTCATAAACTGCTTCTGTGGTGATGAACTGACCACCGACGCCTCACGGGGACCAGGTTGTTATCTCTGATCAAGCTTGTTCCAAATAAGCTGAAACGGGACGGTCAGAGTCGACCAAAGGTCCATATGTGGCCCAGGAGCTGCATAATGCCCAAGTCTGAGCTATTACATGCTTAAAAGCTCTAAAAGTCAAGTCTAGCAGAATAGGTGTGCTTTAAAGCTGCACTGTGTAACTTTTCTGTTAATTAATCTGTATCTGTTTCAGGTACGTGACAGACGCGACCGTGGCTCTGTTCGTGGCTGTGCTTCTCTTCATTCTTCCGTCTAAGCCTCCCACTCACCTGTGCTTCTGGAGGACCGCCCCCTCAGGTAACTCCGCCCCTTCCATTTTACTTAACAGGATTTGTTAGTCTTTATTAGTAATTTCCTTACTTGAAAAAATCTAGGAAACCAGTTGCCTGACTAAACTGACTGTGAATCTAAAGATGAGTTCACAAGTATTTCCTCAGTCTAGTGCTCAGTAAATTCCTCTTTCATCAAACAAAGCACAGCAAGTGAAGTGAACTTTAGTTTTCATTCATAGATCTCGTGTTGTGAAGCTGTGCCAATGAATCAGTCAGTTCCTCTAATCGGAAATATGTAGTAACCTTTAGTTTAAATGGAAACCGACTGCTTTGAATTGAGCAAGTAAATGTTATTTCTATACACAAGTTAGAGTAAAAACGGGTTTTATTCTACAATAATGACATTAGATCTGCATCAGGGACATAAGGATTTGAATGTTTATTAGTCTTTGAAAAAATCATTGCAAAACTTTTGTTCATCTTAAATTCAAAACACGTGTGTAACAATAAAATAATATAGTTTGGTAATCTGTGTATCATTTGTTCATTTGTTTTTCAATATAAAACCAAAAAGAAAAAAAAAAGAAAAAAATACTGTTTTCTTCAATATTTGTCTCTAAAACTAAACACAGATAATGATTCAGGGTTTTTTCAGTTTTCGATTTTGTGTTTACATGAAAAATGGGGGAAAAAGCGATAACGATAATGAGCAGCAGCTGTAGGAAAAGCAGGGAGGAGGCAAAACGAGGACTGGAACAGACTGGGAAATGGAGCTGGACTCTTGGCAATAACAAGTCACTGTTGAAGTTACTCAAGTCACTTCTGATTGGTTGTGTGGTTTTGAAAAGCGTCCTAACCCCGCCTCCTCTGTGTGTTCTGTCCAATCAGAGTCCTTGGTGCCCGCTGGCCCCGCCCCCGCTCTGCTCACATGGGGAGTGGCTCAGAAGAAGATGCCCTGGAACATCGTCCTGCTGCTGGGAGGAGGATTCGCCCTGGCCAAAGGCAGCGAGGTACTCCAGATGCCCTCCCACAACTCTGAAACACTGTGTCAGATGCCCTCCCCGTGTGTCAGATGCCCTCCCCGTGTGTGTCAGATGCCCTCCCTCCCTGTGTGTGTCAGATGCCCTCTCTGTGTGTGTCAGATGCCCTCCCTCCCTGTGTGTGTCAGATGCCCTCTCTGTGTGTGTCAGATGCCCTCCCTCTCTGTGTGTGTCAGATGCCCTCCCTCTCTGTGTGTGTCAGATGCCCTCCCTCCCCATGTGTGTCAGATGCCCTCTCTGTGTGTGTCAGATGCCCTCCCGTGTGTGTCATGCTCGTGTGTCTCTCTGCAGGAGTCGGGTTTATCGCGGTGGCTCGGGGAGCAGATGACTCCTCTCCAGTCGATCCCGCCTTGGGCCGTTGCCGTGGTAATCTGCCTCCTTGTCGCCACGTTTACAGAGTGTGCCAGCAACGTCGCCACGGCAACACTTTTCCTGCCCATCCTCGCCTCCATGGTAACGCACAACCCACAAAGTACTGATACTTTGCAGAGACATCGCACTAGAGGTGTTCTACGTGAATTTCTGCTGGCAGAATATTCATTAGTTACCATGGAGACACAATGTACACATTAGCAAACACTGGCCACGTTTACATGTTTTTTAATTCTGAAATAATTGTTCTGAATGAAATATATGAATGAATTAAAATATTCTCCTTCAAGTTTACATGGAAATAATAATTCTGAATTGAGGTTCACATGGAAAACACGTTAAATCATCTTTATTTAATTCTACTCAGTGTCTGGGGGTGGGGAAGGTTCTGATTAGACAAAGACACGAACTTATTTACGTCGACCGGAACAAAACACACACTTCAGCTGTTACCGGCTTTTCTGTCATCTCGGTTTGTCGTTACACCACGGGCACAAACATGATCCAAACTTTTTTCGTGGTCATTCCAATGATAATTGCGCGGCAGCGGGAGAATTCTCTCATCATGCTTTACGTCTGTCGGCTGAGAAGTCCAAAGAGACGTGGATGAAAGTCCAAAGACACGACTGGTGGAGCCGGATCATCTGGATCACGTCAGAAGGGCGACACAACGAGCATGAACTGAACGACCGGAATTATTTTTAAGAAGAATAAACGTTTACATGATCCAGGAATAAATTAATTTGATTTTTAAAAATTTATTATGAATGACATCAATATCCCGACTTTCGGAGATAAAAGCTCATGAATGAAAACAAGTCTGAACCCTGACATCTCATCTCGAGATCCCACGTTCCTGAGGACCACAGAAATACAGCAGTTATGCCACATTCTACTGAATGTCAGTAAGCGAGAAATCCAAGTCAGTTCTCTATGTGTTCCATTGCAACAGAAAATATGGATGAACAAGAAAGTTTAGGTCAGGTTTCGCTCACTCCTGCTAATAAATAGACTCAGTTAGTTAACGTTAGCTGACGGTGACTCAGTTATGGCAGTTTGACTTTTACATGTTCAGAAAAACTTCTGTCTGCTGTCAAATGATGTGAAAGAAAGTCTAAATGTCACTACAAAGTTTTTAAAGACACTTTCTCTACACAGACACAACTTAACACATCAATATGACTTTGATAGTAGTCCTGATTATTTCCTCATCCATGTTTGTAGTCCTGATTATTTCCTCATCCATGTTTGTAGTCCTGATTATTTCCTCATCCATGTTTGTAGTCCTGATTATTTCCTCATCCATGTTTGTAGTCCTGATTATTTCCTCATCCATGTTTGTAGTCCTGATTATTTCCTCATCCATGTTTGTAGTCCTGATTATTTCCTCATCCATGTTTGTAGTCCTGATTATTTCCCCATCCGTGTTTGTAGTTCTGACTATTTCCTTCTCCATGTTTGTAGTCCCAGTCCATGTTGCTGAACCCTCTGTACGTGATGATCCCGTGCACACTCAGCGCCTCCTTCGCCTTCATGCTGCCTGTGGCCACACCCCCCAACGCCATCGTCTTCTCCTACGGCTACCTCAAAGTCTCCGACATGGTGAGTCTTGGTTTAGAGCTGGTTATTTTAGTTCTGGTTTAGTTCTGGTTTAGTCCAGGTTTAGAGAAGAAACTAGGTAGTGTACTGTTTTTTTCTGTCTTTATTCACACTCAAGACTTCCCTGCAAATTCCTAGTAATTTACCGAGGAAATTTCCAGATCAAAACTGCAGGAAATCAGTTCTCGGTCCTGATCTGGTCTCTGGTCTTGATCCGTTTCTTGCTGTTCCAGGCTCGCTCTGGGGTGGTGATGAACATCATCGGGATCCTCTGCATCAGTTTGGCCGTGAACAGCTGGGGCAGAGTTTTGTTTGGACTGGACTCTTTTCCTGAGTGGGCCAATGCTACTGCACCACTTTAAAGTACTTCTACTACTACTAATACTACTAGTACTCCCGTATGAAGGTCGTATACTACACAAAACTGACTCTGAAGAGCTTTAAGCCATGCTCGAACGTTGTTACCTCCTCAAAAACAGACCTGCAGTTGTGTTTTGTTTCATTATCATTAGTCTGTCTAAACCTCTAAAGCTCAAAATGTTCTGTTCCACCTTGTGATGTCATGAAGTAGTTTGCAAGTTAACAGTTCCTTTTACCTTTTGCTCATTAGAGATCGGCAATTCCAGGGCTAAAATGATTCTAATGATGGTGTATGGAGTTTAAAAACACAGTGGAGCACCTGTATTATTTTCTGTTTGTGAGAAAAACTCCACCTAAATATCCAGGGTTTGTGTAAATGAAAAGTTTAATGTGCACCTTTAAGTCAGGGGTCTTTGACCTGTGGGTCAGGAGCTACTGGTATCTCTCCACCTCCTTCCAAGCAGCTCACCAAGGGATTTCTGAACACCTATTATGCTAAATAAGTACAATTTGAAAATGTAATTATTATTATTAATTACATTTTACATTTCTTGTGACTCTAAAACTAGCAGCTCTGTCACATTTTCATTTTGTAAAAGTCACTCACTGGAGGAAAAAGGTTGGAGACCCCTGGTTTTAAGTATTTCTACTACTACTATTACTACTACTACTACTGCTACTACTGCTACTACTACTACTATTACTACTACTACTACTGCTACTACTGCTGCTACTACTACTACTACTATTACTGCTGCTGCTGTCTGGACTCTGCTCTTTCACAGAGTGAGCCAACACTACTGCCCCCTGCTGATACAATAGTACTACAACTACTACTGCCAGTCACCTGTCCTATTTACTATTATACTATTTACTACTACTATTACTACTGCTACTACTACTACTACTACTACTACTACTACTACTACTACTACTACTACTACTACTTCTGCTACTCATAGACTGTATAAAAGGACATCGTTAACAGCCTCACTCTTGATTGGCTCTTTGATTTCGTACAAGTATTTCCAAATATTGGCCCAGGTTGCAGATTTGTCGCTGTAACTGCGAGTCACAATAAGTTTAATTTGGTTGCAGTGCAACTGTTCGCTTTGGGTGACGTCACACTCCTTTAGTCCACTTCTGTTATACAGTCTATGATACTAGTACTACAACCGCTATAGGAACTAGATACTAGTACTACAACTACTACAGGGCTTAGTACAACTGTGAGCTCAACCGCTGCTCCCTACTGATACTAGTTCTACAACTGCTTCTATAATTATTACTACTACTCCTACTACTATTACTAGTACTACTATTACTATTTATAATATGATAATAATTATACTACTGATGCTACAATAATTATATTAGGTTAGACCAGAGGTTGGGACCTGCAAGTCGTGACTTGGACTCAAGTCGTATTTGAGTCACAATTTTTAGGACTTGACTCTTGACTTGATCAAATGAATTAAGACTTGGGACCCGACTTGGACTTGAGCCCTGTGACTTGAGAAGACTTGATGCTTCTTCTAAAAATATATAAAAATACTTTTCTCTTTATAGTTGATAAATGTGGTGATTAATTTTACAGGAACAAACTGGAACATGTCCCTCCCACTTCTGCTTGGTACTTTGGATGTAACTGAAGTACTGTCATGTGTTATCCTGAAAAGTATTACAGTAGTATAAAGTACAGTGCAGTAAAACAGAGGGAACTACATAGAACATGATCCTTCCATTTCATTGCAGAATACATGACAAAATAACTTATTTAGCACTTTTAAATGTGATTTTTTTTTCTGTTCTGACCGTAATAATTCGCACTAAGATCTTGTCAGGACATTTAAAAAGGAAAAATTTGCATTTCTATGACTCTTATATAAATACTCATAAATATACTATGACTTTGAAGTACAGTTTATTTTAAAGTTCATATAAAATGTGAAAACCAAAGATATATTTGGTACTTTGATTTGAGGACTTGAAGCTCAAACAGGACGACTTGAACTCGACTTGGAGTTATGAGCCAGTGACTCAAGACTTGACTTGGACTTGCCTGTATTTGAGTTGGGCCTTGACTCGGACTTGAGGTCAAAGACTTGAGACTTGCACAACAACAACTTGATCCCACCTCTGGGTCAGACCGCACACACAAAGAGTTTTGTGTTAATCAGCATCTTAAACAATCAATACAGAGCTCACAGAACTACTACCACTACTATAACTACTACTACTACTACTACTACTACTACTACTACTACTATTCCTGCTAATACTGGAGAGTGTGTACAGACCAAACTTGGGCTAAAAAGGGACAATTAAAGTGTTAAACTTAAATTTAAAAATATATATTGTTTAAAATGTCATAATCAAAAAATGTTTTATTGAATTATAATAAATAAAATAGTTAATATCTGTAGCACTTATGACACCAATGAAACACAATGTTAAGTATGTGTAGGAAATACTAGATTTTATTTAAGTGTTTTGTGAATAACATTTAGAGTGTGACTTCTACAGATCTGTGTCGATATGACAGGTTTAGATTATTAGATTATTAGATTATTTTTGACTGGATTTGTGTGATAATATCTGCTGTAAATATAAATGATTGTTTTACACTAATCAAGAAGCATTTTGTGAAGAAAAGTTGAAAAATATGTTGAAAATTACAGGAAATGAGAGTTCCATATTGATGACGTTACACTGGGGAGAATTCAAAGGTTTGGCACAGTTTACACAAGAAACATTTTTACCAACATTTGAAACATTATTTCAACAAAATAAAGGTGTTTTCTTATATACATATATATATATATATATATATATATATATATATATATATATATATATATATATATATATATATATATATTTTTTTTTTTTTTTTTTTTTTTTTTGTTTCTTATATTTATCAAATAATAATCTCTGTGTACATTAATACATTAGTGTGAAGTAAAATTTTAAACATAAAAAATGTCCAAACTGGGAATGAAATTGTAAAACTTTGTAAAATTGTAATTATCAGTCATAGGGACTTTAAATATGTGTAGAAAATATTAGGTTTTATTTAAGTGTTTCGTTAATAAAGAGTGTGACATGTACAGATTTATGTGCCATTTAATACTGACTTAATAACTTGAATAAACTTGTGATTTTGTTGTTACTGGCCATGTTTACACACACACACAGAATCAGATCTATGTGTTGAGCATAATAGCCCAGTGAGGTTCATTTGGTCTTACAATAAATTAAGTTACGAAGTTCTTTTTTTCAGACCAAGAGTTTGTTTTCAGACCTGACAGTTTGGACTGCTCACTACGATCTTCCTCAGAGACTCGTGATGTTGTTGTGTCGTGTCGCTCAGTTTATTTAAACAGATTTCGGCGCTGTCTTCCTACCGGTGGAGGCAGGATGACAGTGCCATCTGCAGTCCGACGTCCTCAGAACAGTATCCCAGGTGTGTGAGAGTAAAAAAGCCCCTTCGTCCTGGTTTATCGTCCCGTGGGCACATTTCTGTATTCCAAATGCCTCTTTAATCCAGCGATGATGTTTGTTTTCCTCTGTCCCAATGATGTTTGCTCTGTCCCAGTCCATAATGTGTTTCTCTCTTTTACAGTGGTCAGAAACGGCCCATTTGTCTTGGTCTTGAGACTGGCCTTGAGTACATTTTTTTATGGTCTTGGTCTCGTCTCGGGCTCGAGCGCATTTGGACTCGGTCTTGTCTCTGTCTTGATGGGGCTTGGTCTCGATCTTGGTGCAGAGGTTGATAAATACCACTGCAAAACCAGTAAAATAATGTAACTAAATGTTATGAACTTGAAAAAACCCACTTGATTAACTTGTTTTCTGTAAAGCGCCAGTGGAAGTGGGATTAAAGAAGAGCTTCTCAAACTGTGGGTCAGGGCCCAAAAAAAGGGGAACAGAGTGTTTCAGTGCAGTACAGTTTGCTTGGCTTATTTTAAGTCTAAATGAACATTAATCAGATCAAATGGAGATAGGTTTATAAAAACACTGATGTATATGTACCAAATAAATATATAAAATGACAAAGATGGTCTTGATTTGGTCTCAGTGGGCCGTGGTTTTGGTATTGTCTCTGTCTCGACCTTTAAAAGTCTCGGTCTTGTCTCAGTCTCGAACCTCAGGGGACTTGGTCTTGTGCTGGTCTCGTAACCCTGTGGTCTGAGAAATTTTAGCAATTTTACCTAAACAAATGACAGTTTATGCCTCTTTTTACTTTTGGTGGGGATTAAATCGGTCAAAAATAGAGACACCTGGGACACTTCTTGTATAAAACTGGGACAAATCACAAGTTTTGTATAAATTTGCAGGGACAAATGGTCACTCTACATGTATCAGTCATTATAGATCCGTGTTATCAATTTGTAAATATAAATTGTGCTGTGCAGGATTTTGCGGTGAGGTGCGCCCTCTGCTGTCCTCAGGCCGCAGCTGCAACGGCCGTAAAGCGGCGGAAAGTGTCACAAACGCGTGCACTCATAAACATGGCGGCGCTGGGCTGCATCCGGATTTGACAACTCAACTAAAGTCGTTATAAAACCCCGTAATATCCTTTTAAAACTCTGACCCGCTTACTTCCACACAGCGCTGGTTCTGTGCGGTTTTGTGGCCCGGTCCGGCTCGGTGTCGTCGCCATGGAAACAGGTAAGTACAGACCGGAGGCTAAAGCTAGTTAGCTCAGTTAGCTTTAGCACTTTAGCGGCTTTGTTTACAAAAGGAGAAATTGGTCACTTAAAATAAAATCACTTCACCTTGGGGTAACCAGGTTCTCAAAATAAAAAACAGGGACATTTTCTGGTGGTTGGTAATAATAAAATTGTGAAACGAGTGCGTAATTAAGGAAAATTATTGTGCAGAGACCATTTATGACTAATATATGTGTCAATTTAGTCACATTTTCTTTATGTTTTGGTCATTTTTAAGCAGCTTTTCTGTATTTTACCTAAACAAAGGACAGTTTTTGCCTCTCTTTACTGTTGGCAGGGATCCGATTGTTCAAAAATAAAGACACTTAGGACATTTTTTGTATAAAACTGGGACAAATCAGTGGTTTTGTATATAGTCGGGGAGCCAAAGTCTCAAAAATGGGTTGAACCTGACTTCGCCTGCCATACTTTTTATTTGTGGGTTTTTTGTTAACTGTGACCCTGAGGACCAATAATTGGAGGGTCTGCTCTTCCGGAAATATCGCGAAAAAAAATTGTGGCCATTTTAGTGTAGATAACCTTCATTTGTGATAGAAAATTTTGAAAAATTAAAAATTTCCTCAAATCCTCAAAGGGTTGGGTAAGCTGTCTACAAATACATTCCAGATGCAAAGAACACATGTGGTGACAATATTCAGTGAAAAAAATATTCATAAAACACATTTTTACATGATTTTGGCTCAATTTAATGCCAAAAAATAAGGCGTTTTTTCACTTTTTTCCAATAATTTCATCTTTACCTCATTGGCAATCAACTATTCCCCCAAGTTTTGACATCAGCCATAATAAATCTGCTGGGACAGGGGACACAGGCTCAAAACTGGGACTGTCTTGGGTAAAAAGAGACTTCTGGTCCAGCTCACGGCGTTTAAACTTGTGTCGAAATAAGAAAGATTTGAGTGGAGGAGGAAATGACTTGTTCACGTTTACAGTTCACAAAATTGTCACTTTTTTTTTTCCCATGCTGCTGATGATTTCTTACTGATTTTGCAGTTTGCCTAGGGATGTAACAATAACCCGAATATCGTGATATCGTATTGTCAGAGTTCTCACAATAATATCATGGACCATCACAATATATCAAATCACAAGTCTCTTTGCTTAAATGAAGAGTTATGGTGCAGCAATAACTAAAAAAAAAGAGAGAGAACTACATGGACCATGATCCTTTGCTCCCTTTCACTGCAGACTACAAGAAGAAATAACAATTCTAACACTTTTAAGTCTTAGTTCTTTGGATTAAGTCTTGTCGAGACATTTTAAGAGGAAAAAGTAGCATAGTAACGGTTTTAGCTGTTTACCCTCCACAAAATATTGCAATAAATATCGTACTGTGAGATTTGGATATTGTTACATCCCTAATCGTGAGACTCCCATCCATATCGTGAGCTTTCCCACGATATCGCAATAAATATCGTACCGTGAAGTTCATACTGTGACGATATCGTATCGTGAGACTTGGATATTGTGACACCCCTAGTGACCACCAGACTTCCCTATTTACCCAAGACAGTCCCAGCTTTGAGCCCTGTGTCCCCTGTCCCAGTGGAATTATCCAAAACCAGAGATTTGTCCCAGTTTTATACAAGAAATGTCCCTATTTTTCACCAATTTGATCCCTGCCAACAGTAAAGAGAGGCATACACTGTCATTTGTTGAGGTAAAATACAGAAAAGTGGCTTAAAAATGACTATTCTGACTCACATATTAGTCCTGAATGGGCCAAGTGCTGAATAGTTTTCTTTAATTACGTTCTTATTTCACAACCACAACAAACTGAGAGTCCCAGTTTTATTTTGAAATTCTGGTCACTCTAAGTTTGCATTTAATTAATTTTAAAGCTCCAAAAATTAGAATAATCAGATTTCAGTGTGAGTTTTTATTGCGGCTGCCGTATTATTCCATTATCTGTGTATGAAGACTCCACTGTGTTTGGGTTGAGTGTAATAAAATGTGATTAAACTCTGGGTTAAAGAGTTCGTTTTATCTCACTGTCTTTGAAAATCATTTATTGAATTCCTGGAGAGTCGTTCTGACTTATTAGGCTTAATTTATTTATGGCTGCTTTTATGAGTTTATCGCAGAGTTGCTTATCAGAATCTGATAGCAGCTTAAGAGTTGCAGCTTCAGCAGGAGGAGCAGAACTTCCATTGTTAAAATCTGATTCAATCAATAATGTGGAATCTAGAGAGAAATAAAAATGTGTGTGCACTCTTCAAAGATTATTAAAGCCCGCTCTGGAAAAAATATCAGTTTTAAAAATCGTCATTGAGCATCCACATTGCAGTTGATTTATCCTCCATCCTGACTTCTTGACTTGTTTTTTGTTTTCTTTTTTATTAAGGGCAACAGAGTATAACATAAAAAAAATACAACAATCAATATTTGACAATTACAATAATCAGCATAAAACAAAACAAAAAAAACCCAAAAAGCAACACCCACAATAAATACAAAACAACAAAAAAAGGCCCCATTTCCCCCCGACCACAGATACCAACACAAACGCACCTTTTCTCTCTTTCTTCCTTTTTCCTTTTTTTTTCTCTCATTTTTAAATAAAATTTTGTAGTCCCTATACTTAAACTAATATTATTGTTATATCATCATTTTCTTTCATATTTTTTTGTTATTTATTACAAACTCAAATAATAATTTTAAAGCCATTTCTTAATTTTTTTTTCTTCCCCATTTTTAAATACATTTTTAGTCCCTATACTATTAAACTTAAACTAATATTATTTTCACCATCATCATTGACTTGTTTTTGTTTGTTTCACAGAGGAACAGGCCCGGAACCGTTTTCAGGCTGAGCTCGAGTTCATTCAGTGTTTGGCAAATCCCAACTACCTCAACTGTGAGTAGCACCTCATTTAAACACACGTGAACCTTCTAACTGTGACTTGTGAAGTGTACGCCTCGTTATAATGCTGTTACTTCCTAAAAAAAAAAACAGACCTGGAGTTGAGTTTTGTTTCATTCACACATGTTTGTGTAACTGTGGGGCGGCAGAAGCTCAGTGTTGGAGTGTTTGTCCACTAGGGCTGGGTATCATTAATAAGTTCCCGATACCATACATACCTCGATACATAGGCCACGATATGATACATATCTCAAAACAGTGCACTTCTGATTCGATATAATATATTTCAAATCGATTCAATATGGATAAATAAAAAAGAAAGACTAAATCATGTCTGTGATTGTGGCGGGATTCTTCCAGAAATCTAAGGAAATGCGTTTTTGGGTGCTTTATTGTGCTCTCCAACAGTGCAAAAAAGGTGCCAAATGTGACTGAAAAATATTTACAGTGCTTCAGTGGTAAAAAGTTCAATTTTGAGGCAAAAAATTGTTTGTTAGACTTCCCCTTTAAGTGAAGCAATTTCTTTGTTAAACCACTTCTTGTGCAAAGTTCATATGAAACGCAAACATTTAAATCATCAAAACAGTGAAAATGTCAAATGTTTCGCATAAATGAGTTTCCTTCCACTAAACAAGCAACAAAACTGTAGCACTGTAACAACATAATTAAGTAAAAAATACCAAAAAATACTCTTGGCGATATATCGATACAGCAGCTAATGATATTGATACTGTATCGTCACATTAAACTATATGATATATATCGATATTTTGATATTTTTGCACACACCTATTGTCCACTGATCTGCAGGTTGGTGTGTGTGAATGGGTGAGTGGTCCCTTCATCTAAAGAACTTTGAGCGCCTTGAAGGTGGAAAAGCACCAATACAAAATTTGACCATTTACCATATTGTTAGTCTGTCCACATCTCCAAAGTTCAAACTGCTCTGTTTCACCTTGTGATGGAGGAAGGAAATTTGTTTATGTGACACATTTGACATTTTTGATGATTAAAATGGCTGATTTTCATATTCACTTTGTACAAAACGTGGTTTAACAAAGACTTTTAGTGTCACAGCTCTTATTTACTCTTTATTTTTTACTAGACCGTATCGAATCGATTTGAAATATTTCATATTGAATGAACCTAAAGCTCACTGTATCGAGATACGTGTTGTAAATTGATGATCCCCAGTCCTAATTATTACTGTTTTGTTTATCTTCTGTCTGTTTTTAAATGTTCTATCTGGACCCACTGGAGTCTGAAAGCTTGATTGATTTGATTGATTGACTGACTGAGTGATCAAAAAAAACAGATCAGGGCATGTGACATAAAGTGTTCTCTTATCTTGTATAATCGTTGTTTGTTGATTGTGTTTCAGTCCTGGCTCAGAGGGGATACCTGAGGGAGCGGCCGTTCATCAACTACCTCAAGTATCTGTTGTACTGGAAAGAACCAGAATACGCCAAGTTTCTCAAGTGAGTCCTGCTCACCTCCTGCTCTGGATCACACATGGATTATATTCATAGACTGAGTGTATATATATATATATATATATATATATATAGATATATGGACATAGATAATTAACTAGCAGGTGTTCTGTCAAAATGAGCTCCTGCAGCTTAAATCGACAGTGATTATCAAGTCACGCTGCCCCGTTGAAATAAGCATCCTTATGTTTTTCCGTTTACAGTTGTATAGATCCAATAAACCTAAACCTTGATCTTGACCTCCACAGTTTTACAGCACATTTCTTTGGATTAGAGACGCGGGTTTGATGCTGTTTGCACACGATGATCACACAAAATGATAAAGATAAAATCAAATATTCAATCCAAACTATTCAGTCATCTAATGTAGGTGTTCTGCCACAAATCCAACACGCACATGTCGTTGTTTATATGTTTAATAGGGACACAACGATATGGTTTTCCCACAATTCAGTCCGTATCTCGATACACAAGTCACGATATCTTTATAAAAAAAAACATCTCATGTAATTTTTTCTGCTAATGAGTGTAACAGACTAACACTATGATGTTAAAGAAACAATACACATTATATTACAGTATAACTACTGAGAGTTATAGTTTATATGTGAAGTGTTTCAGTTCATTTGGTTCAGTGATTCAGAGCTCAGAATTTTATTCAGTGAAAATAAGAACAGAGTTTCTCAGGCTGTTTTATATTTAATAATATACTACTCTTAATATAGACTTGTAAAAAAGCTACACTATCAGACTTTTCCTCCTTTGATGATGATTTGATGAGTTATTTTCTTCTCACTGCACACACACCTGTGTCAGTGCTGCTCTGTCCTCCAGTAGAGACAGACAGTAGCTCCTCCCACACTGCCCCCTACAGTCTGACACACTGAGCTCTAACATCGTCTTTCTGGACACTCAAACTCTGTTATTATATAGAAATGTCTCACAGATTGTTTTCTGGGGAAAACTTATGAGATAGAGTCTGAGAAAAAGATCATGTATATGGCCAGTTGCTTTGTGGTGTTTATACGAGTGCATTTGATTAAAGCCGACGTAAAGCCATAAGCGATTCTGAAGTATGTAAAAGTGAATATCTTTGTCATTTCTTGGTCTATCAACGTAAAATTAAAAGTGACTGAATGATCAAACCCTCCTCTGTTAGAATATTTCAGCTGTAAGTCCACATGGAGCTGTTTTCTGTTGCATCTGAGGAGGACGCTTTTCCCCTCAGACCAAAATAAATTACAACAGGAGGGACACGTGGATATCGAATTGCGAGACCAGCATCGAATGATTGAATATTGTACCAAATATCGTCGCATCCCTAATGTTTAACTGGTCAAAACATACAATAAAACCAAACCTGTAACAGCATTTGGGGGTTGTGCCCATGCGCTGTTGAAAAAACGTCGCCCCTCTCTCTCAAACTGCTGTCAGACTCGTCACTTTGGTCTTAAAATGTTCATATTAATCCACTCTAGGGTTTTTATAGCGCTAGTCCTGCTCCAGTCCTGGTTTAGTCCTCCTTTAGTTCTTGGTTTTAGTCCTTGGCTTTAGTCCTGGTGTAGATCAGTCTGTCTTTAGGCCCTTGTTTTAACCCTTGTTTTCTCTCAGATACCCTCACTGTCTGCACATGCTGGAGCTGCTTCAGTACGAACACTTCAGGAAGGAGCTGGTGAACGCTCAGTGCGCCAAGTTCATTGACGAGCAGCAGCTCCTTCACTGGCAGCACTACTCGAGGAAGAGGACCAGGCTCCAGCAGGCCCTCGCCGAGCAGGCCCCGCAGCAACAACCCACACAGCAGCACGGCAACGCCACCACCAAGTAACCAACGAGGACCAAACGAGACAAAACGGCGCCGCAGAGCTCAGGACAAAAAGCTGAACAAGTGTCCCTCTTCAGTCCTGGTTCAGTCCATCTTCAGTCCTTGTCTTGGCGTCTGGTTCTAGTTCAGTCCAGGTGAGAGAAAGAGAAACCTTGGACACAAAAAGAGCTTTCACAGATGGACTCTCACGGCTCAGAACATGTTTAAACTTTGCCATTTCTGTTTAAAAGTTTCATGTAGAGATTTGTAAATAAATGTGCTTTTGTTTCATTTCAAGTTATTTTGTGGAGTCTGATTCACAGCAGTCGCCTCACAGAGTTTTATGAAGATGTGTTTTGCTGTTTTAGGTTATTTAGTCTTGTCACTATACTAAAATTAGTTTAGGGTCGGCTGGTCCCACATTTCCCATTTCATTCATCCCTGTAAGTAAAAGGTTGGAGACCAGTTGGATGGTCTTAAACAGGAGAAGTTTAAATTCTCTTACATATGTGCTCTTCTACTTGTTCTGATTCAGCTCAAGATTGTTCTAAAACTATTTAGGAAATTCTCATTTCTGTCCTGTGAATGTGATTATTTTATTATCTATACCTGCTCAAATGAGGATCTAGTTTAAATAACAGTTTTAGTATCGATAATGTCTGATTTTTAATACTTTTGACAACCCTAAAGCATGTGTAGGTCATTACTTTACATTTTGTTCACTGCAGTATTCACCTAAAATGACTTACTGTAATAATAGAAGTCAAATGAAATCGAAAACCCACATCAAAGTGCTCGTAGAGGAGCAAATGCAAAGAGCAGCAACATAAAAGTGGAAAAAATGCATAGCACTTTTTTTATTTTTAGATTATGTTTCAGCAAAACGCCTTTGTCAGATTCTTTCTTGCTTTGGGCCACTGTGAGAAAGCAAAGAAATGATCTGGCAAAGGCTTTTTGCTCAAAATCTGTGGACATCGATCATCTGAGTTTGCTGTGGATTTTTTCACTTTTAATAAAGATAAAGATGAAGTGAACTTTATTGTCAGTTCCATCATGTAACAGACATTACACAGGGGGATCAAAATTGTGTTTCCCCAGAACTCCAATGTGCAGTTAAAAAGTTACAACACACACACAAAAGTACGTAGATATCAAAAATAAATCAAATAAACACAACATACAGACAGACAAGGACGTATGCATTTCCACAAGAAGAATAAGTTATCTATTTTTGATGTTTGATTTAGTGCAGGGTGCTGGTATATATGAATATATTAAGTTAATGTTTTGTTTTTGTTTTTTTTATAATTTGTCAAGTTTAAGGGATTGGATACCCAACACATCCACAACAAGACAGACTTAACTAAATATAAAACTAACACGCATACAAAAAAATTATAATAATAATAATAATAATAATAATAAAAGGATATATATATATATATATATATATATATATATATATATATATATATATATTTAAAAAAAAAAGTTCATGTTTAATGACAGAAGTCAAAAGTCCCGCCCACTTCAAAGTCCAGTCTGAGTCCAGGAGTAAATTTTCCATTAATTTTCCCCATAGACTTTTCCCAAGATTCAAATGTAACGAGTTCATCGATATTAACCAGCTTTGTCCTAACTAATATCCATAACACTGTTGGCCAAAAAGCACATTTAAAATGCAAAATGTTTTAATATCTTAGCGGTTTATAAACATTCAGAAACACATTTTAAGTCAAGTTATAGCTTTTGTGGTCATTAGTTATTTGTCTAAATGTTCTTCCACCGTTGAACTTCACTGACAGAGTTTGATTCATGTATATTTTTTAAACCTTTCATGTTTGACCCAGAGTCTGAACGACTTGAATCACAGTAAGTACAGAGAAGTGGGCGGGGACAGGGGGCAGGTGAAAACACAAATGCAGGACAATACAGGATCATGTATAAAACCAATAAATGTAATTGTTATGACATGGTTGAATACTCTTAAAAGTCCATTTTACATAATATTTGTCTTTAAACAAATTGTTGATTTAACCAACAGAATCAAACAGTAGAAGAGTCGTTTGTCTGTTACACAAAGGTCAAGTTTGTGCTCTTCTGTAGTTTTCCATAAACGCTGATGTAACCTTTGTCCCGTGGTGATCTTAAAGCGCTCACATTAAATCATTTATTTATTTATTTTTAACAATAATAAAATAAATACAATGCAAACACAATGCAAGAGGTCTTATACATCTGACTGCATAAAAATATTCATATTAACAGTTTGTTTAGATTTAATATGGCACAAGGCTCTTTTAAAATGCAAAAACAAAATCACTAAGATAAATTTGGAACAAGGGTTTTATATTTGAGAATTTGCATTTATGAATAAACTGTTTGGCTAGTAATAAACAAGAATTATAGAAAATAAGAATTATAGAAAAGCTCCATTTTGTTGTCTTGCAAAATTACTCCATATTTTACATATTTTACGTGTAGGTGAAATTAGGTAAATCTATATCATATTCCAACATCCATTTGGAATGAGTCCCAAAATGTTCTAATGCAGCTACAGTAAAAGAACATATTCAACAGTTTGCAGTTATTGGTCTCCATAGTATAATATTTCTTCAAAAAATTATTACAGGGATAAATATCATGTAAAGTTTGAAAATGAGTTTCTTTGGCTTGAGGAGAGATTAGAAATGAGAGGTAATAGAACTTTTTCACAACTTTTGGAAGTGCAGCGATTTAGGGTAAATGTAACTCGCTCTTAATGCTTTTCTGTGGCAAAATATCTGGGGAAATGTCTCACATTTTCTCCACCAGCTTCATAAATCTGCCCCATCACCAAATCTTCAACCAACAAGGTCCACAAAGAAAAAACACAAAGAATTTATCCACAACTATCAAGGTAAGAAAGACGAAAACGTAAAAGCAAACAAAGATGACGCATTAGTGAACTACTGAGCAAAACTAACATTATGGTTATGAATAAAACAGAGGTAACTTGTTAACTCGGACTGATTCTACAATTAAAATTAAAAATCTATTTCATGATGTGAATATTGGCATAGACAGAGATTTGTGCAGTTTAAATGTTCGACATGTAATCTGTGAACATCTGCTGTTTTTGTTTACATTTGGCTTTTCCGCACATGCTCAGTGGCTGGTAGGCAAAAAGTCAGTCAGGCCGCTCGTTTGTGTTGACAGTTGCGTTGCGTACGTCTGTCATGAAATAACTCATCTTATTTTGAAGTAGATTTTGCGTTTAATTGTTTTGACATGACTTCATCATCTTACTCTGAGTCATTGAATGTTGAGGATGTTGAAAAACATTTCTTTGAAAAGTTAAAACTTGCTGATAACAATGTTGATTTTATTTATTTTATTTATGTTTTTTTTATTTTTTTTATTTAATAGGGACAGTGCATATTAATGAACATCTACAACATTGCAGTGTAAATATGCCAGATTATAGCAAGACTGCTCATTTCCATCTGTAGTCCCTCGGCAGGTAACACCACAAATTTAAACAAAGCAAAAACAAGTAACAAATCTATACTAAAAGTGTCCACAAGTCTGTTTTTTCTTTAGCCACTCTTTTAAGTAGGACTTGAAGGTGGCAAGAGTTGAAGTTTCTCTTATTGATGGTAGCAGACTGTTCCAAAATTTTGTGCGTCCAACTGAGACACACATTGTCCGAATGTGGAGCGTCTGTGTGGAGCTCACAGTTCCCCCGGGCTGTGGTCCTAGTTCCCACTCACAGTCTTTACTTTAATAAAATCCTGTAATGGAGGAGGGGCGAGTCCATGCAAAACTTTATAGACAAAATATACATGTTTAAAACAAATAAAATTATTAAAATTAAGCAAATTATACTTGTCTAAAATAGTGCAGTGGTGAAATGAGAGTGGTTTCTTGTCCAATATTTTTATGCCTTTTTAAAAAAGTGATTCGATGGGTTTGAGTGTTGTGCAGCAGCGAGTGACCATGTGGTTATGCAGTACTCTATATGGGACAAAATCATGGAGTGTAAAAACATTCGTGCCGCATATAGAGTCATAAAAGGTCTTACTTGTCTAAAATTCACTAAGTTAAAATTAACAGTTTTTGTAAGGCGCTTAATGTGTTTCTTAAATGTAAATGTCGGGTCCAACATCAGTCCCAGGTATTTAAACTCTTTGACAAGGCTGAGTTCCACCCCGTCCAGAAAGACATTGGATCGCTGTAGATCAATTGTTTTTTTGCTGAACATCATGCAGACAGTTTTCTTTATGTTGAGTTGCAAGCATGAGGTCTTGATCCACTTTTGGACATGAGTCATGGCTGATGTTAGCTTTTCTGAAGCTTCTTGTACACTTTTGGCATGTGTAAAAATCACAGCATCGTCAGCATACAGCTAGACATTGACATCTGGACACATTTTAGGAAGATCATTGATGTATACACTAAATAAAATAGGTCCTAAAATGCTACCTTGGGGGACCCCTGTTGGACAGTGAAGGTAGGGTGATTTAAAACCAGAGAGGGAAACACATTGTTGTCTGTGGGACAAATAAGATTCAAACCAGCACAGCGCTTCTTTGGACAAACTAAAATAGGATAATTTAGATAAAAGAATCTGGTGATTTACAGTGTCAAAAGCCTTCTTGAGGTCTAGAAATACTGCTCCCACATATGCGTGTTTGTCCAGAAAACTTTTGACATTTTCAACGTTAAACGTTAAAGGTGTAGTACTTGTGGTGAGATATTCATTTAATTGTTCGGCCACCCACCTCTCAGCAATTTTGGAGATGGCAGGGAGGATGCTGACTGACTTGATGTTGACTTTGACGTGACGACATCGTGTTTTCTCGTATGATATTAATAAAACATAAGCAATAAGTAATTCATTAATAAGTAATTTGTTAACTCAGACTTATTCTAGAATTAAAATTAAAAATCGATTTCATGGTATTGGCAGATATTCACAGATTACATGTCTATTTATCTATGCTAATATCTACATCATGAAATCTATTTTTAATTTTAATTGTAGAATCAGTCTGAGTTATAAGTTTCTTATGTTTTATTCCATAATAAATGTTATTAAATTATCATAATAATAATAAAAAAAACGAATAATAATTGACTCACTAGTTCACTAATGCGTCGTCGTTGTTCGCCTTTACGTTTTCGTCTTTTTCACCTTGATAGTTGTGGATAAATTCTTCATGTTTATCTTTTGTGGACCTTATTGGTTGAAGATTTGGTAATGGGGCAGATTTATGAAGCTGTTGGAAAATACGCGAGACATTTCGACAAATATTTTGCCACAGAAAACCATTAAGTTACATTTACCCTACATCAAGTGATGTTTGCTGTTTTTGTTCGGGGATCACTTTTGTTTAGTACGTGTGCGCATGCGTATTCAGGCCCGGGGTGTTATAACTGAACCCGCTCCCCTCACAGTCCGGTCTCTCCACGGGTCTCTGGTCTCTCCGGGTCTCTGGTCTCTGGTCTCTCCCCGGGTCTCTTTGGTCTTTCTCCACGGGTCTCTGGTCTCTCTCCCGGTCGGCGTTCTCTCCTCACAGCGGCGCGGTAAGCCCTCCACAACATTTACACAACATTTATAAAGTAAAATGTCCAAATGTCGCGTTTTAACTTGTTTTGTGCAACACTGTGAGCATGCGCACTCGGTTTTGATAAGCTAACTATTTTTAAATGTCTACACATTGCATGTTTTTCCCATTTTTACCGCTTTTCTTCTACGTAAAACTTCTCTTAAAACAAAAACCCCACGAGCCTAAACGCACTTAATCATTCACGTTAAGTTACGTGTTGGAGTAGTGATGTTTCGTGAGTTTTTGGGTCGAAGTTCAACTGGTTAAAACTTTATTTAGTCACGTCTTGGTCTTTTATCTTTCATGCACTGTGTAACTTTTCTAGTGGAGGGTCCCCTGTTTGCTTTTGCACGGGATTTTCCACAGTATGGCTTTAAATCCCCAGACTCCATGGAGACAAGTAGGAGATTTCCAATTAAATGCAACGCTCTTCTCTTTTATTTTGGACTAAAGAGTGCTTAGATTTACATAGTTGTTTAGTAGATGATATTTTATTCAACCAATCCTTTTTTATTTAGACTAGATTTATCAATTAATCAATCAAACTTTATTTATAGAGCGTTTTTCATACAACAAAATGGGACAGCAGCAGAAAGGAGAAGTGAATAAGTTAGATTTTTGTTATCCATATGTAAAAAGGCACAATTTTAATGTGTCTTTATATAAATAGATTGTTTCCCAGTACTTTTCCCTGCAACAATAGTAGTTTTTTTTTTTTTTATGAACTCCCGTGCAGGTGTCGCCTCTCAGGGTCAAAGGGTCAGGGTCAGGCGATGGGGAGGAGGACTACCCGTGGATGGTGATTTTCCATGAACACAAAAAGCCATAAACCTGCAATAAATGAATAAATCTTTCCATGGATTCTATAAATGATTTTTCAGAGACAGTTTCAATAGGATCAACTCTGCGCTCTTTTTAATGCCGGGGTTCAATCACACTTTAAAGCAGACATGTCAGACTCAGGCCTGACGTAATTAAATTTGGCCCGCAAGATCATATCAGACATGTATTAGAGCCGCCCGCCAGTTACAGATAGACCATAGAGACATTATTTATTGTTCTGGATTCAATGTTTAAGCACAACTATTATTAAACTTTTATTTTAATAAGAAAAGGTTTAACATTACATATCTCGAAAGAAGAGAAATCATGCAGATGTTGTTGAAATTTTTCAATAAATGTTTAGTTTGGCCCACGATTTAGCCCCAGTTTTTAATTTTGGCCTCTGTGAATTTGAGTTTGACACCACTGCTTTAAAGGATCCATATTACACTGTTTTCTCATGTGTTGTAATTCCATTTTCTCATCATAAACAGACATGAAGTTGTGTTTTGTTTCATTCACACATATTTAACACACAAACCTGCAGATTTAGGCTGAGTTCTTCTCGAAGAACCTATAGCAGCCGATCTAGAGACAATCCAATGAGAGATAAGGAGAAGATGTGTTCAGATGCCGCCATCTGGTTCTGGACCTCTGGATCATTAGGGCTGGGTGGAGTAAAAAATATATCTCGATATATTTTGTTATATCTTGATTTACAATATATATCTCGACGTGTACAGGAAAAAATAACTCCCCAAAAACTACTGCAAAAACAAATCTGCTAAATTCCACAGTGTCTTTTTATTAAAGTGCAAGAGGTCAACAGTTCATGTAGGAACAAAGTGCTTCTGCCACATTTAAGATTACAAGAAGTCCTTGATTACATAAATAATAATTTAACTGTAAAATAAAAGAAATAATATTATATTTCCTTCTTTTCATTCATAAATAAAATAAATCAACTCAAGCTCATCTTTGCATTAACTCTGTAACCATAGGATAACCATGAGCTCCTTTAGCAGAAGAAGCTCAGGAGGTTTATTATTTTAACAGATCCATGTTCCTCACCAGTGTAAAGAGCTCTGAGGTTTCCCACAATCCACTGCAGATCAAACCCAACGTTTCCAAACACTATTGTACAAATTATTGATTAAAATCTTCTGCATAAATAAACTTTGCATTACTGAACTTTACAACAAATAAACCATAACGACTCTAGAGCCACATCAGCCCGTTTGAGATTATAATATGTTTAATGCAGTTTTCTGCACATGTGTTTACGTTTTACAGAAATGAAACTTAAAACTACATGTCCCATTTGCATAAACAGTGCGCTCCTTGAGCCTCTCACATGGTTCAGCTTCTGTTGGACTAAAGGACATGACTCAGTGGAATATGAGTGTTCTCTCTGTGACAGAGGATGTGCTGCTGATGGTTTTGTCTGTAAATGGTGGAAAAGGTTCGTGGTGCCAGAAGTTTTTCACTGGCACCAACTTTCAGCATTCACGGTGATAGTGAGGAGTGAATGAGACTCAAGCAGAAAAATCAGAGAGTTGGGGATGAGCACAGAGAAGACAAACAAGCGAAACTGCAAAATCAGAACTGAATATAAGCATTATATCGATATATACGATATGTCAGAATCCATATCGAGTTTAAAACATATCAAGATATCGCCCACCCCTACTCTGGATCATTAGGGCTGGGTGTCATTAAGAAGTCGATACAATGCATGCCTTGATACACAGGCCACGATATGATATGCATTTTGCTACAGTGCACTTTCGATTCGATACAATATATTTCAAATCTATTCCATACAATTCAATAAAAATAACAGCTGTGATACTAAAAGTTTTTGTTAAACCACGTCTTGTGCAAAGTTCATATGAAACACAAACATTTTAATCATCACAACAGTGAAAATGTCAAATGTGTCGCATAAACGAGTTTCCTTTCACTAAAACAACAAATCTCTAGTTGTAACAAAATAATTTATTAAAATATATCGATATAAAGAGTATTTTTGGGTATATCGATACAGCAGCCCCAGATATTTATACTGTATCAGATGACATGATATTTAGATATTTTTGTACACCCTATGGATTATCCAGAACTCATTAGAAGGGGTATTATGTCAGCGTGTGCAAAAATATAGAAATATGGATATATCATTGTTTAATGTGATGACACAGTATCTATATCATGGGCTGCTGTATCAGTATATCACCAAGAGTATTTTTTGGAATATCTTACTTTTATTTTGTTACAGCTACAGTTCATTGACAGTGCGCCTTATAATCCAGAGCCCCTATAGTGTGGAAAATGCAGTAACTGTGCTCTCTGTTATGTTCCTCAGGTGTGCAGAGCTCCTCGGGGTCACTGGTTTAAACATGGCTCTCCGTGTGGCGGTGATCGGAGCGGGTGCGGCTGGTCTCTGCGCTGCACGCCACCTGCTGTCCAGACCCGGGACGTTCCTGCCTCCGATTGTGTTCGAGGCGGGAGGACGCATCGGAGGAACCTGGGCCTACGAGGAACGTGTGGGAACCTACGACAACGGGAGAGCCGTGCACAGCAGCATGTACCAGAACCTCCGGTAAGAGCACACCTCCTCTGCACCATCTCACCTCCTCTGTATCCTCTAACCCTCTGACCTTCTCCTCTGCTCCTCAGGACTAATCTTCCCAAAGAGGTGATGATGTTCCCAGACTTCCCGTTCGATCCAAAGTTGGACAGTTTCATTCATCATGAAGAAGTTTTGAGATATCTGCAACAATACTGCGACTACTTTAAAATCACCCCTCACATCAGGGTAAGACCAGGACTGAACCAGGACTGAACCAGGACTGAACCAGGACTGAACCAGGACTGAACCAGGACTGAACCAGGACTGAACCAGGACGTGACCAGGACTAAACCAGGGCTAAATTAGTGCTGAACCAGGACTGAACCAGGACTAAATTATATGGTTTTCTTTTATTTTAGTTTAACACAGCAGTGGAGCGTGTGAGGCCTGTTACCATGGAGACTGCCGACAGGAAGTTGAAAACCCAATGGGAGGTGACGTCTTTAGACAACGCCGGGTCAGAGCGGACGGAGAGGTTCGACTCCGTGTTCGTCTGCTCCGGGTACAGACTTTATTTTACATATCATCTATCAGCATTAGGCATTAGTGGCAGAGTGGTTAGCCCTCTCACCTCACAGTCAGAAGGTACCAGGTTTGATTCTCAGATCATTCGGGGTCTGACTGTGAGAAGAAAAGTCCGGCTGCTCCTGACAGGTTTAACCCAGAGACGCTTGAGGAGGATACATTTCCTAAAGCAACCATAAAGTCTAAACTTATTCAGCTAAACGTTTTTAAACTCTTATATGTTTAAGAATTGGTTCTGAAGTTGTTTTGATTGTTGTGTTTTGTGCAGACACTACTCTGACCCTCACATCCCTCAGATCCCAGGCCTCCAGCACTTTAAAGGTGAGACTTGAACCTATGGTGCTCAGATCACATCACAACTTTCTAATATTGGCCACGTTTGCATGATGTTTTTTAATTCCTAAATAATTGTTTACATTAATTACGTCTTTATTTAATTCCACTCAACGTCTGGGGCTGGGGAAGGTTGTGAGTGGACAGAGACACGAATGTATTTATGCCGACCGGATGAAAACACACACTTCAGCAGCTACCGGCTTTTCTGTCATCTCGGTTTGTCGTTACGCCATGGACACAAACATGATCCAAACTTTTTCCGTGGTCGTTCCGATGATAATTGCACAGCAGCTGGAGAATTGTCTCATCACACTTTATGTCTGTCGGCTGAGGAGGAGAAGGGAAGAGTGTCAGAGAAGGTGGAAGAAGACAAACTGAGTGTGAGGCTGCTCTACCTCAGCCCACTCCCACATCCCACTCACAAGTCCAGAGAGACGTGGAGGAAAGTCCGAAGCCACGACTGGTGGAGCTGGATCATCTGGATCGTGTCAGAAGGGTGACGCAACAAGAATGCACTGAACGAAAGGAATTATTTTTAAGAAGAATAAACTTTTACATGATCAAAGAATGAATTATTTCAACTTTAAAATCGAAATAAATCACCCACTTACTTCGGAATCAAGCTTAATTCCAAATAACCGTTTTCATTAGGAATAAAGTGTTTACTTGGTCTGTTTAAAGCGGAAGTGAAGCTCTCATGTAAAGGTGGCAATTGTGATCCCTCTATTATACATTAACTCTACAGGCCAATAGACGATATGCTGAAAAGTGCAATCCATCCATCCATTTTCTTCCGCATATCTGGGGTCGGGTCGCGGGGGCAGCAGTCTGAGCAGGGACTCCGACTTCCCCTTCCGCACACACTTCCTCCAGCTCCTCCTGGGGGATTCCGAGGTGTTCCCAGGTCAGCCGAGAAACATAGTCCCTCCAGCCTGTCCTAAGTCTTCCCCGGGGCCTCCTCCCGGTGGGATTGGCCGGAACACCTCTCCAGGGAGGCATCCAGGAGGCATCCGGAACAGATGCCCGAGCTGCTCCTCTCCACGTGGAGGAGCAGCAGCTCTACTCCGAGCTGCTCCCGTGTGACTGAGCTCCTCACCCTATCTCTAAGGGAGTGCCCACACACCCTGTGAAGGAAACTCATTTCAGCCGCTTGTATCCTCGATCTTGTTCTTTCAGTCATTACCCATTACCTCATGACCACAGGTGAGAGTAGAAACGTAGATTGACGGTAAATCGAGAGCTTTGCTTTTTGGCTCCGCTCCCTCTTCACAATGGTCCGATACAGCGACCGCATCACTGTCGACGCTGCACCGATCCACCTGTCAATCTCACGCTCCATCCTCCCCTCACTCGAGAACATTAACAACAACAATAACAATACTCATGAAAAGTGCAATAATTGTATAGAAATCCTTGGTTGTGTACTGGATTCTAACCCTGTATATTTCACTGGTTGCCGGTTGAATTCCAGGTGAGCTGCTGCACAGTCACAACTACCGTCGTCCGGAGCCGTACTCGGGGAAAACTATCGTGATTTTAGGAGCAAAAGCCTCGGCCATCGATATCTCCATGGAGCTGTCCTCTGTGGCTCAGAAGGTACCAGTGTCCTAAAGCTCTTTATTTAAGCAATAGAATCTGATTTTTAACATTAAATACCATGAAGTCCACAAAAAACAAAATCTCCTGTCTTATTCTGTATAAAAACTGCTGACCCTGTAGTTTGGAACCTTACAAACGTGTTCTGAAATGTGATCCTTGTATTAGTTTTGTCAGTTCAGATTTCAGCCTTTTTGTTCATTCTTCTGGGAGTGTTTAGAAATGTTAAGAGAAAAACACAAGTACGCACAAGTTCCCAAATGCTTCAGCTCTTTGACTAAACTCTCTACTTGTTTATTTTAGGTTTACCTGAGTCACAGACCTCCTCTTCTCACGTTTCCTCTTCCTCCGAACATCTCAGAGGTAGAGTCCATCAAGAAAATCCAAGAAGACGGGACTGTGATGTTCCAGGTGAGAGCACAGACCGAGTGTAGACCTGGTCCAGACCTTGGTCCAGTCCTGGTTCTGTCCTCGCCCTGTTTCAGGATGGCAGAGTGGATCCCTCTATTCTCTTACAGGATGGCAGTCCTGGTTTAGTCCCTGTTTAGTCTCCTTTCTGTCCTTATTTAGGTTCTTTCACATCGACAACAGTTGGCGCACCAATTCTTTCTAACCAGAAGATCTTAGTTCGGTTCGTTTTCGTTGGTGTGAAAGCTTCAGTCACGCTCGGATCTGCACTAAATCAAAAGGACTGAGACCTCAAAAAAGAGGTGGAGTCTTGATTCAGTCTTTTTTTCAGTTGGTTTTGTCTTTGTTCAGTCCTGGTTTAGTCCTGGTTTAGTCCTGGTTCTGTCCTGGTTCTGTCCTGGTTCTGTCCTGGTCCTGTCCTGGTCCAGTCCTGGTCCAGTCCTGGTCCAGTCCTGGTCCAGTCCTGGTCCAGTCCTGGTCCAGTCCTGGTCCAGTCTTAGTTCTGTCTCTGTTTAGTCCTGGTTCAGTCCTGGTTTAGTCCTGGTTCTGTCTCAGTTCAGTCCTGGTTCAGTCCTGGTTCAGTCCTGGTTCAGTCCTGGTTCTCTTACAGGATGGTGGAGTAGTTCGCCCTGACGTGCTCCTGCTCTGTACTGGATATAACTTCACGTTCCCGTTCGTGTCGGGGGCGGAGCTTGGCGTCCGGGTGGAGTCGGACTTCGTGGGGCCGCTGTATCGACACCTGATGCCGCCATCTTACCCCTCCATCTTTTTCATCGGCCTGTGCACCCAGATCTGCCCCTTCCCCCACTTCCACTGCCAGGTACTACAATACTACTACAGTACTACGACTACTACGACTACAACAACTACTACTATGACTACTACTGAGCGGCAATGGCAGCTCAGTGGGTGACAGTAGCTCTGTTGGTAGAGTGTTTGTCCTCTGATCAGTTGTTCCTGGTTCAAAAGTGGAAAAGTGCTGTATAAAAATGTGACCTTTTTATCATCAATCAAGGTAATAAAACATGAAGTGTTTGTGTTTGTAGTTTTATAAAGCTGTTTAAGCTGTAAATGTACACTGTAACTAAAGTTTAGTTTAGACCTACTTTAGTCCTGTTATAATCCTGCTTTAGACCTGGTTCGGTCCTGGTTCAGTTCTGCTTTAGTCCTGCTTTAAGGCCAATTTACGGTCCAGCGTCAAATCGTCTGCGTCACGACGCAGAGCATCTGCGGCAACTGATGTGCGCCTCTGAAATTTTCTAACTACGCGTCGAAACGACGCAGACAATAAGGGCTGTGATTGGTCCTCTCTACCGGCACACTACAGATATTTCCTGTACTCGACTTTCGTTTCTTTCAATATACATTGAGAAATAATGTGTTTAATGCAGCTTTGTGCATATGTGTTTACGTTTTACAGAAACAAAACTTAAAAATCGTGATGTGGTTCAGCTTCTGTTGGACTAAAAAAAGACACGACTCAGTGGAATATGAGTGTTCTTTCTGTGACAGAGGGATATTGTAATAATGGTGAATCTGTTCTGTGCTTTTATCATGTCTTAGATGGTTCATGTTAAACTTTTCAAAGATTATATGTCTGCAGGTCACACGCATAGATTGTATATATGAATGGACAGATGTCGTCGCTCCCTAATGTTTTGGCATGAATTACTTTGCGGCGCATAGACCTCGACACAGATCCATAAATCAAAAACGACGGTGACAAGGCGACGGCGGCAGTGCGCGTTGAGTCGACGCAGAACTATACTTCACCCTTTAGTCCTAGTTTTGTCCTGGTTCAGTTCTGCTTCAGTCCTGCTTTAGGCCTTATGTATTTGTGTGTTGTCTCCCTCAGGTGCAGTACTGCCTGGCGGTCCTAGAGGGCGCTGTGACGCTCCCCTCGGTGCAGCAGATGGAGCAGGAGAGCGGCTCGTGGCTGGAGGAGAGACTGAGGCGGGGGTTGCCACAGCGCCACCTGCTGAGGGTGGAGCAGGAGCAGTGGGAGTACTGCCGAGGTCTGGCCCAAGACGCCAACTTCTCCCAGATCGGCGACGTCGTGAAGTCGCTGTTCCAGGAAGTGTGGAGGCAGCGGAGAGTGCACCCCGTACTCTACAGGAAGCACAACTACAGGATGATTAGTGACACCCAGTGGGAGAGGCTCGGCACTGACTAGACCGGTATTGACTCTCATCTCGAGCTCAAACGATATTTAACAATCCATCAGAAATGTCGAATTCAAAACATGAAGGGAGCTGAAAAAAGTGCAGAAATGCCCAGAGATTACAATCTGTTTTGGTCCTGGTTTAGTCCTGGTTTAGTCTTGGTTCTGCTGTAGTCCTGGTTTAGTTCTTGCGGTGTGACTTGCTCGTGACTGCAGAACCATAAACTAAAATCCTGATATTGTTGGGTTTTTTTTTAAATTCACTTGGTATTTTACTTCAATGAATCTAAACACATGACACATTTAGATCTTTTATTGTTTTGAAAACACTTTATTCACCAAAAAACACATGAACATGTTTATTGTATCAGGTTTGTGAAGTTGCACTGTACAGTTTTGTATCATGTTTTTGTATATTTATAGAGAATTGTCGTGTGGGAGCATAAGGGTGACGTGGGCTTGTGGGCGGAGCCTTGTACGTTATTTCTACTTAAGAGGGTTGTGTATCATTTTCTAACACTACTGCTACTACAGACCTGCCCCTCCTCCACTCCCACTGTCAGATAAACTACTGTCATACTGTTCTATTAGTACTATTACTACTACAACTACTGCCACAACTAATACTATTACTACAGGACAGACTTGATCAGATCATATATTGTTGGCTGAAGAAAAGAGGTAGAGCGCTTCACTGGGTCATAAAAGGGTTAAACAAAATAGCAGTACAGGTCTACGAGGGTTAAACTAGTAACCTTTAATAGAAAGTTACCCTCACTGAAAAATGTAAAAGTGGGCTAGGTCCGACTGAAAATATTAAAATATAAAATCTATTATTGCATGAAGGAATACCAACAGTTTGCATCCCTTTTCTTCCCCGTGCAATAAAGGATTTTTTATATATTCAGTCAGAGTGCCTTGAGTTTGTACCTTGCCCACTTTTACATTTTTCAGTAAGGGTAACTTTCTGTTAAAGCTTACATTGTTGGCGTTTGTTTTATAAGGCTGTATTTGATCTAATTTTAAATGATAAGAGACTCGTCATAAGTCGCAAGAAGAGGCTTTAAAAGAACAGTGTAACTTTCTGGAGGTGCCTGCACATCACCTGCGTGAGTCCATGGACACGGAAAGTTCACAACATTATAGCCAATAGAACTAGTATCATTAAGAAGTTGCCGATACATTTCTCGATACAGCTCACATTCAGTTCAATACGATATATTTCAAATCGATTTGTCTGTGATACTAAAAGTCTTTGTTAAACCACATCTAGTGCAAATTTGAAACACAAACATTTTAATCATCAAAACAGTGAAAATATCAAATGTGTCGCATAAATTTGTTTACTTCCTCTGAACAAACAAAAAAACTGTAGCTGCAACAAAATAATTTAGTAAAATAAGCCAAAAAAAACGATATATTGATATTTTTGCACACCCCTAATAGTCAAACAAACAACATTTCCATGGGAACAAGCAGAAGGGCCTCTTCCAGGTCAAATAAGTGACAGGTTTGTGGAAATGCAAGCCCACTCACAGTTAGGTGTGTGCAAAAATATTAAAATATCGATATATGGTATCGTTTAATGTGATGATACAGTATCAACATCGTGGGCTGCTGTATCAATATATCATCAAGATTATTTTTTGGTATATTTTACTAAATTATTTTGTTACAGTGCTACAGTTTTGTTGTTTTTTTAAAGGAAGGAAACTCATTTATGCATTTGACATTTTCACTGTTTTGATGATTAAAATGTTTGTGTTTCATATGAACTTTGCACAAGAAGTGGATTAACAAAGACTTTTAGTGTCACAGACATGATTTAGGCTTTATTTTTTATTGTATTTAATTTTATTTTTTATTTTGACCCGTATCGATTTGATTTGAAATATATCGTATCGAATCGAAAGCTCACCGTATCAAGATATGTATCGTATCGTGGCCTATCTGTTGACTTCTTAATGATACCCAGCCTTAGTGACAGTAAAGTTTCCAATAAATACAACCAAAAAGTGTTTTTGGGCGGACACGTGGTTTCAGTTCTGTGTAATATGGTAAAGTCCAAAATCATAAGTTTCCTCACAGGAAGTGAACAGTGAAACAGTCATTGCTCAAAAACAAACAGAACAAACCAAAGACAATAACCCAAGAACACAACGACTGCTCTACAACCGTTTCCAACATTTTCTTAATCTGTGACACGCGTAGGATTCAGCAGCATCATGTAATCATTTTGTTGCAAAGCTATCCGCAGTTTTTTATACAAAAGATAAAAGTCATGGAAATTGAAAATGTCATTATCCAGGCCTGGAAAAGTCATGGAATTTTAATGTTTCTTTCATGCAACTACAGCGTTCTGTTGGGTCATGAAGGTTTGTGACTGACTTAAGTCAATAAACATTATTCGTAAATTATATATTTGTTTTTCAATATAAAACCAAAAATAAGAAAACATAAAAACAACAATTTTCTTCATTATTTGTTTTCAAAACCAAAATGAAAAAACAGATAATGATTAGTTTTTTCAGTTTTCGATTTTGTGTTTAAATGAAAAATGGAAAAAACGGATAACGACCGTTTCCCGTTTACGTGACTTAAACTGAACCGGCACTAACCGTTTTCAGTCCTGACCTGGCCCCGGTCTGAGTCCCGGTCTGAGTCCCGGTCTCAGTCCCGGTCTCAGTCCCAAACCTGGTTTAGTCCAGGTTCAGTTTAAGTCACGGAAACGGGAAACGGTCGTTATCCGTTTTTTCCATTTTTCATTTAAACACAAACTCATTATCTGTTTTTTCATTTTGATTTTGGAGACAAATAATGAAGAAAATAGTTGTTTTTGTTTTCTTATTTTTGGTTTTATATTGAAAAATGAATGAATACAGATAATTACTGAACATTAATGAGTATATTTTATTGTTGACTGAGTGATTGTGTCTCTCTGAACAATTAGTATCACTCAATGAAAAACAGTCATTAAATGCAGCCCATTTCTTTTTCTTTTCGACATTCAATTGAACCAGCAACATTGGAACAAAATAATCAATAAAATAATTACAAAAAGATTAGAAATTATACAAAACATGTCTTAACATTTCAATCTACATGCACATCGTGACGACTCAAAAAAAATCTCTTGTGCGACTCGGCCATTGGGAAACAATGTGTTAAGTTCTCATTAGACTATTCTGATTATTTCTGATCGTCTGCGCCTTTTGTTTAAACAAGACGACAATAAATGCACTGACAGTATTTTGAATGTTAAAAAACTATAAAACCAAACTATAAAGTGCGTGGAAAGGATTAACATTTCACATTTAGCCTTAAAAGTCTGATCAATTCTGCCGTAAAATGATGGAAAATTCACTTTAGGTCATGGAAAAGTTTTGAAATTTTGTCAGTGAAAAAATGGGAACCCTGTTTTAAACCGTTTTTGATCAATATTGTGATTTAAAATTATAACTAAACTACAGACAAAGCATTGTATTTATTGCTTTAAATGTGAGGAATGTTTATTTTTTACATTTTTATTATGATTCTTGATGCAGTTAGGATTTTGGGCTGAATGTATTTTGAAATATTTTGTGTTATGAAAGTAAAATCATGTTTACAGTTTTATTTACAAAGATTTTTTATATGAAATTCTCTCTAGAGCTGCAAGAGCGCAATCGTGATCAAATGGACACAATTAGAAATTTTTTAAGTACCATAGATGAACTTGGTCTGAAATGTGATTCTTTGTATTTGTCTTTTTTGTCACCTTTGAACAGAATCCTTTTGTTAAAACAATCTATTTGTATTTTGTACTTAAATCATGTTGGTCTAAATGTTTTTAAAAATGTCACAAATAAATGTCTAGAATTATGACAGAAAAATGTAAACTTCTTTGGTTTTTAATTGTTCTCTGAAAAACAGATTAAACTCAGTCATGGGGACAAAAGGTACGTACTCCCTGTACAGCGCCTCCTACAGGACAAACAGGTACATGAGTTTACACAGAGAGACAGAAAGAGCCATCATCAGGACTAAACCCTACAGGCGTTTGCCTGAAGAACCATGACAGATAAAGCTACAGTGTGTAACTTTCTGGAGGTAATAAAAATAGAAACAAGCGCAATCAGAAACACCAACCTGGTCCCCATGAGACGTCGTGGGGTCAGTTCATCACCACAGAAACAGTTCATGAGGAGTCCAGCCCATATAGGCGAGTTTCAGCTGACGTCATTGTTATTAAAAGCCCGCGTTGCATGGTGGGAAATATGTTGGTCGGAGGCAAGAAACAGGATAGCGGTCAAACACAGTGCGAAACCTTGCGTATTTATCCCCAATAATGGTAAATTCCTGCTGCATTATCAGATGCACAAATAGAAGCACGGAAGAAGGAAAATGTCTTTTTCATATTCTGAGTGAAAAGAACCACTAACGGAGAATTAAATGACTTTCAAACATCCGCAGAGCAAACGTAGATGATCCTAACAAACCGTGGACTCCAACAAGTTCAACAACACATCCAGACTCTTGGAGGTTTTCATCTTTTCTGCTGTGAATGGCCCAGGAGTTTCCACCAAGTCATTGTGGATATCACCCAAGTGAATATTTGTCCAGGTAGTTGGTGATTCTGACCAGAAATTTGGTTTGGTCCAAATAAATAAATAAATAACCGGGATCAGTACCCTTTACGTGTTTTCTCGCTCCGTCCATCATGTTGAATTAGTGTTTCTTGCCGCCGACCAAAATAATTCCCAGCATGCAACGCGCGCTTTTGTCAACAATGAAACTCGCCTATTACATGATCATTATATTCACAATGCAATGTGTGTATCTGTACAGGCCCATGAACATTAGTGTGATATTGGTCACACATGAGAATGTCTGTGTTTACTAGTGTGGAACCAAAATGTCATTGTTCATGAGTTGTGTGTGCGTTAGTTGTGTGACTGTAGATCAGTGTGTGTGTTTCACCAGAAAAACAAGAAATGGAAATTGGGGTGGGCGATATCGAGGTATTTTTTAAACTCGATATTCCCTGATTGTGGAAAAGATGGACTGGCGTCGGTAGTGTTGTGTTTTAGTTTTTCCTTGAGTGAAGCAGAAAAGAGGGAGCCACTGTCTGTGTGAATGTTCATGTATGTTAGCTGTTCTGACGTATCGTATATATCGATATAATGCTTATGTTCCAATCTTGATTTCCACGCTTCGCTTGTTTGTCTTCTCTGCCGTCACCCCCGCCTCCCTAATTTTACTGCTTGAGTCTCATTCACTCCTCACTGCCGCCGTGAACGCCCAAAGTTGGTGCCAAGTGAAAAGCTTCTAACACCATGAACCTTTTCCATCATTTACAGACAAAACCATCAGCAGCACATCCTGTCACAGAGAGAACACTCATATTCCACTGAGTCGTGTCCTTTAGTCTGAAAGAAGCTGAACCGCATCAGCAGCACAAGGAGCGAGCTGTTTATGCAAATGAGCCATGTGGTTTTAAGATTTGTTTCTGTAAAACATAAACATGTGCACAAATCTGCATTAAACACATTATAATGTCAAACGGGCTGATGTGGCTCTAGAGTCGTTTTGGTTTATATGTTGTGAAGTTTAGTCATGTAAAGTTTATTTATGCAGAAGATTTTAATGAAGAATCTGCTGCAGTGTCACTTGTACAACAGTGTTTGGAAACGTTGGGTTTGATCTGCAGTGGATTGTGGGAAACCTCACAGCTCTTTACACTGTGAGGAACATGGATCTGTTAAAATAATGAACCTCCTGATCTTCCTCTGCTGAAGGTGGTTATCCTATGGTTACAGAGTTAATGAAAAGATGAGCTTGAGTTGAGTTGTTTTATTTATGAATGAAAAGAAGGAAATATGTTTATTTCTTTTATTTTACAGTAAAATTTTTATTTATGTAATTAGGAATTTTTTGTAATCTTTAATGTGGCAGAAGTACTTTGTTCCTACATGAACTGCCGATACTACAATAACTTCAATAAAAAAAGACCTTGTGGAATTTTACATATTTGTTTTTTGGGGGGGTTATTTTTTCTGTACACATACCGAGATATATATCGTATATCGAGATACAATAAAATATATCAAGATATATTTTTTGATCCATATTGCCCAGCCCGAAATGGAAATTATTTTCATTCCAATTAGAATTTTAACGGCATATACTGAATGAGAAAGGAACTGTCATAATTAGTGATTATCTGGAAAATTATTCATATTTGACAATACAAATGCACAGAATTATAAATACATAATAATTTTTCGGAGATTTTGAGACACTCCCGTTGCTCGAGCTCGATCCTTGGCGGAGTTATGACCAAAAACACATATTTGACCTTGGTGACCTTGACCAGTTTCAACCTGTAACATCCAGTGTGCCCCGGTTATGTGTGGGCCAACTTGTGTGATGATTGGGTGAATATTTTAGGTCGCAGATGGTTCAGAAATTGCAGAAATTGCCTATACTTTATAATGGCGTGACCTTTCAATTGACCTGTGTGACCTCAAATGACCTCGGATCCTTACCGAACTTTTTTTGCAGCATCAGGCATGGGGGCTTCATTCACGAACCAAATTTGGTGACAATCAGTCGATAAATGGCGGGATTATCGCGGGTGGACAAACACACAGACACACAGGGTGAAAACAAAACCTGATCAAACCTTCAGGGACCAGGGAATAAAAAGTTAAACCCAAACTTCAGGAGTTAGATCATACTGTCCTTCACCATCTTTTCTGATCAAGCAATGAGACGAGACCTTAAACCAGAAAAGTTACACTGCAGCTTTAATCCACATGTTCATGGCGCCACCTACAGGACGCAGACAGGTTCACACACAGACGCAATTACATTTAAATCTCTATATTTCATATTTAGACATTTATGACGGTCGTGTATTGTTTTTAAACTTCACGTGGACACAGTTTAGCTTCACAGGAACACGAGAGACGTTAAAGAACATTGTGGAATATTTTGGGACAAACAGGACTCTGGACTTCAGTGAGAGGAATGAGCTTCATCAGCACGAAGTCACCAGAGCAAACTCAATATTTAACTTTAATATTATACACAGAAGACGAGAGGAAGAGAGAGACGGAACAGGAAACTGCAGACGAGACTCACAAATCATCTTTATCTTTTGAACAGTATTTGTTAGTAAAATAAAAAGTAAATCTAAAAGTCTGTAAACAATCTGTATTTAAAAAACCTGAAATGATCCTGAAGAAAAACAGGATTTTGTATCAAATTATTTAAAATCTTTGTTCTGAACTTCAGAAATTATAACTCTATAAGTTACAATGAGAATAAAAACAGAAGCTGCTGCTCCACAGATCTGACCCGTGAGGAGACTGTACCTGCACCATAGCGCCTCCTGTTGGCCCTTCCAGATGTTTCCGTGTTTCACTCAAACTAAAAAAGTCTGAATGCAAATGTGAGGAGCAGCAGTGGCACAGAGACAGAGACGTCTTCCACAAACCAGATCCAGCTTAAACATCTGCCACATCTGTTTGTGTTTGTGTTTGTGTTCAGAAGATGATCCTGGACGACTTGGACTCCTCTCCGTGCACCTGTCGCTCCAC